ATTCATTTGCTTGAGAACTTATTGCTTAGACTTACTCACTCAACGGCTGGGGGAGGGGGGAATCTGTGACTTGGGGGATTTGGGGAGATATTGCTATAATAAGTAGAGTAGTGCAATAAACGTACTCTACTAGGACTTATTGCCATATGCGTGACTTGGATCATATCGCTATCTACTTACATTTGCATGCTTTTGAAGTGCGAGGAGGGCAGGAGCTGGGGCAAATAGCAGGACCTCACCCCATATGGCAACACTTGGGTCTCGAATCTGAGCTGTCAGATTTCCAGCTGACAAACTCAGCATCTTTAACCACTGAGCTATCACATTCACCATATGTTGTTACATTTTGTTTTCAAATGTAGCTGTATCTCTATGTAGCACTGTAGTTTATTCTGCTATATTTAATATTCTGGTTTTGCAAAACTCAGTCTAGTACATAATTGTCAATAAGTGAAATATTCAACTCTTCCTCAAGTAGATTTTTCTGCTATTGTAGAAATCATAATGATCAAAGAGAATGATCAAGAGAACATTTATGGCTGCTGAAGCATCTATATGGAATAAATGAATAGCGCAAGGTTGAATTTTATAGGTGGGATGAAATACATTTTCATTATGTAATACTGAAATAATGCTTTAAACTACTGTTGACAAATACTGGAAAGTAGGAGTTTTTTTAAACCATAAAAAAGTAAAAAGAGCACTATTTTTTTAAAAATACATGTTGTTTTAAAGGACTGTATGAATGAATATGGAGTAATGTACAGCAAACAGATAGAAATTTAATCTGAAAGAATTACAATTATAATCTGGGAGCTTTAAACTGAAAATGTGAACATATGTGAATAATTATTATGATCATTTTTTAAAATGCCAATTTTAAGTGTTAATTTTCAGTAAAATTATAAAAAAGAAAGATTAAGTAGTATCATACTTTTAGTTAGGAATATCTGATAATGTGATACAACTCACTCCAAGTCAGTGAGGCACGCCTTTGGTTCTAGAAATAAAATGGGGGAGGGAGTATTTATTTATCAATAAATACCGGTAGCTCAACAGAAATTACTTGTGCAAGAGCATCTCAACTCCAAATTATGAGCTGGATCAGGATTTATCAGTAGTTCAGTTTTGCTGATTACTTAATTGGCATCTGTTTATTCAAGTTTCTGGATTCTTCAGTGCATTATATAATAAACTTGCTGCGTACTATTACATCTGTTTGGATAAACATATATATTCATGTGTTTCTCCAAACAGCCTAAAAATACTAAACTTACATTCTGTTGTGGATAAGATGCTGGGAATAGAAGATAATTTAGATTTTCATAGGGCACAGAAAAAGGATAGTGAATTCACATACACAGAGTTGGAAAAAAAGAATTGGGGGGGAGGCAGAAAATGTAGCTGGTTACTATCAGATCATTGAAGATGGACATCTTGGTGTTGAAGGTAGATTGTTGACTTTAGCAAAACCCAGTTTGGACTAGTAAATCTTAATAGGTTAGTTCGTGATCCAAGTGATAAGACTGCTGAAAATAAATTCTTGGATGCTACCTGAAGAAGTTGAAGATAGAGCAGTGGCAGTTGTATTCAGTACAAAAAGCTCTCAACAGAACTGAAGAAGGATGGAAGATAAGAAGGTCAAAAGATTACCTTCTAGAGAAAAGCCAACAGATTAAGCTGCTGTGATGATTGATGGAGAGATGCCAACTAGTGTAACTTTAAGCCTTTTCTTAGCTTTAGATAAAAATAGTTTTCATATTTAGAAGCATTGTCAAGTTTACATCATTCTATCTATAGGAGAATATATCCAATATATGACACTGCTCAATGTATAACAATATCCTCCTCATTTGAGAGTAAGTAATGCAGATAATTGTGAAAGTTCTGAAGTTGCCTCCTATCAAACTTCAAATGTACAGTATGCTGGGTATTTTTTGTTTTGTTTTGTTTTCATTGTTCCACCCAGGAAGTGATAATTACATTTTAACAAATTCTTCAAAACAGCAAATATATTTATATTGTTTATTCTATTTTAACACATGTTTACCCAAGAATTTTATCTCCTACGTTTTCAGAAAATAATTTCTTGTTTGAAGCCTCCAGTTCAGGAAGCTTACAGATCCATTGTTTCAGTAGAAGAGAATATATGTAGCTCAGGCTTGATCTGTGCAGTACTTGGTGCTGTTTGAACTTGGCTGTTTGCTTGCAGACATTTCATTACCTGACTAGGTAATATCAGCAGTGCTAGTGAATATGGGGTTTGCTTCCTGTTTATATATAGTAGCTTACCTCCCAGTATTGGTGAGATTGTAGTTTTTCCTTGAAAATTCCTTGATTAGTATATTGTTTTCTGCTTGCTTGTTTATCTACTGCTAATCCCAGCTTAATTTATTTATCAAATTTCTATACCACTCATCATACTAGCATGACCCTTATCTCAGTGTAGGTTACTGGTGAGGATGTGTTCTGGTCTTTTGGTTTCCTTCTTAATTTTTTCATTGTCTCTTTTGAGTGATGTGTAAATGTGATTTATCTCTATTTGTTGATTGCTGATTGATCTGAATGCCAAGCTTCCAAAAATTCCATAGTGGTTTTGGTCTAGGATGTTCACAGTTTCCCAGTTGAAACTATGGTTAAATCTTTCCATGAGCTGTGAAGCTAAATAGTTTCATCATGTCTTCTGACTGCTGATCAGTGTTTGTGGATCCCCTCTACTAGTATTCTCCCTACCTGTCCTTCATAGTGGTTGTTACAATCCTTACACTGCATGTCATGGATTGTGTTAATACTGCCCATTTGGAAAATTGCTGAAATTGAGGAATTACTTTCATTTCAACAGACACATTAATGTGTACCTGTCCTTTCCATATACTAACTTCTTGAAAAATCCAATTTTCACTTATCTGGAAGGAATTATGCATTGCCAGATTCTGGAAAGAATTGCTTGTATGATTTCTTTTCTCTTTATGTTTTCACATAGTACTAGGATGGTGCAGAAATCAATGAATTAGTATAATTGATGTTTGACTTATATGTCAACTTTTGGATTTGTTTTATTTTGTTTTGTTGTTTTTCCTTTGTTTTCGCTCATGAAAAAATACATTACTTCTCTATAGAATCAAAATACTAGCTTTTATTTTATAATTCTATTATAATTGGCATCTTCCATTCATATGTGAGCTGTAAATCTGGCTAGAAAAATGAACTTAATATTAAACTTTATATGGATAGAGAAGAGGAGGTCATGCTCATAGTTTGTCACTTGTCCCTCAGGATTCAACACTCTCCCCTTTGCTGTTTAATATCTACATGAAACTGTTGAATGACTTTATCTGTTAGTTCGGTGTACTGATGGTATTAGCTCTATATCTCAACCTGGGACTGACAGGTGAAGCTGTCAATGTATTAATCCAGCAGTGCCTGGAGGTTTTTCAGGTATTGGGAGAAATAGATTTTGGCTCAGTCCTAATAAGACTGAATGACTTTAGCTGCCACCAGCAGTTCAGGTGTATTTTCATTATTGATCTTGGATGGTGGTGCATCTCCCCATTTAAGACTGGTACACTGGTTGAGAGACCTCCTAAACTCACAGCTGTGGCCAGGAAGGTTTGCACAGGTTCATCTTGTGTACAAGTTGCTGCTTTCTTCAACTGAGAAGTCCTTCAGGTGGTGGTCACTCACAATCTGATCACCTTTTGATTGGACTATATGTTATACCCATGTGTCACACTGCTATGTGAGTAGCATTGGTTGCCAATGGGCTTCTGGGTGCCATTTATCATCTGCTAAACCCTTCATGACACAGGGTCTGATTATCTGTGGGATTGTTGATCTCCAATTGTTTCTGCTTGACTCTATGTTGTGACAAAGCAAGTGCAGTCCCGATTCTTTCTATGAAAAATTGTCATTTTGCAGGGCCTAAGAAAAGTGTCTTCTCCATTGCTACCTCTGCCCTGCAGAAAAGCATTGCCCCAGAGATTTAAAAAAAGTTCCCATTTTCCCGGGGTTCTGAAAAGCTCTTTAAGATCTGGCTCTGTTCCAGGGCTTGAGGTTAATGTGTCCATTGGTGCACTTCTGGTGCCCCTATCATATTTGTAGGATTTATTGTTTTGTTTTTTGCCTGTTTTTGTTTGTTTAGTTGTTTTCTGAATTTTATAATGTCATTTATAGTCAGTTGAAGACATCCAATATCTCAGCCGATTTGTTGAATAGGGAAGATAAAACTGGCTGTTATCATTACATGAACTTCAGTTTGCACCCACCTAAAACTCTTTATAGTGGTTTTGAGAAAATAATAAATAGAATTAAATAACATCTTGATGAATGTCATACTGCAATTCTTAGGCTGTCTAAAAACAGGACTCTAATCCTCCTAAACTAACCAAAGGCCGATCATATTTGGATAGAACCAGTGTAAAACAGTTCCTTTATTCCAAACATACAGTAGATCCAAATGATTTTGCACTCTTTTTTTTTTAAAAAAAAATTCCCATAGAGCTCCCAAAGCATTCGCTTTTCCAAAACTGGGTTTAAATCTGCATTGAACTGAATCAAAAAGAACATTTTCATTCAAAATGTTTCTGAGTCACTTAAGTAGCCCGTCAGATATTAGCAACCTTCATGAAAAAAGCTTTTGCATGATTCCATCTAAATGCTTCCCCCCATTGATACTTATGAGGGATTAATTTTGACAGGATAATACTTCAGTCAGTGTTTTATCATGTTAACAAAAGTCTGAGTGTAGTCTATAAACAGTTACTAATGAAATGAAAACGATCCTTGAGGAAAAGTATATCCATTTTGCCTAACAATGGCAACAGCATAAATTATTTTTTATCTTAATTAGAAAAAATCATTAATTTGATGTACATAGTTATCCATCTCACCTAGTGATTCTAGGCAGCAAAGGGCATATCAAAACTCAATACAAAACATTAAAAAATAAAACATTTGAAAGTTTCAGCATATCTTTATTTTACCTGTCTTGTTTTTTACAGAGAAAGGATGCGGCAATCTGCAATGTTCGAATTATGCCAAGGAATGCACCAGATCAGCCTTCAATTTGTTCGTCTGCAGCTTAGTTTTGAAGAATACACCATAATGAAAGTTTTGTTGCTGTTAAGCACAGGTAAGTTTCTTGATGATTCCAGTTACAATTTTAAATACCATAATATCATATATTATTGTAATAACTGACTAAACAGTGTCCGATGAATTAAAAAAGAAAAGAAATTTGATTTTAAGAGCTGGAAGGCTCTTCAGTGTTTTGGACTTGACATCTATAGCATTTTTGAAAATCAGGATTGATTACTTTAATGCATTGTGTGATAGCTTTGAAGTTAGTTCAAACTATAGTTTGTAGGCTCCTAAAAGGGGCTGGTAATTGAGAACAGACATCCTAGCTCCAGTACTGAGATCTACCAAATCCTGTTATAATTTGCAGCCCACAGTAAGATGGCATTAACTCTGCTGTACAGCATAAATCTGTTTTGTTTTTACCTTTAAAACCTGAAGTGTATTAAAGCTGAATTCAACATGGCACATGCCCAGTTTTTCTTCATGGCATGATAATTTGCATTTCTTTAAGATTAATTTGCTTGATTTATAAAACGGAATCTTGCATGCTTCAAAGTAAAGTCTAGCTGCATTATGTTGTTACTAGAAATGCCTGTGAGATTCATATATGTTAGTACTAAAACACAACTGCGAAGTTGCAATCCAGTATTTTGTTTGGAAGTTTGCATGTATGCTTGAACTATATACACACATATGTACATATAATACATGCATGCATATATAAATATGAGAGAAGAATAGATTACTTTCTGCTTAATTGTCACATTGCAAGTAATCATAATTACCACATCAGCCAAATTTAAAAAATCTGTAAAATATCCTCACAATTTCAGTTATGCCTCCAACATACATGGAATGCGGCTTTCTTGTATTAAACAAAACCTTCACCTATATGAATTTGCTTTTGTGATAAGCTTATATTCAAAGATGATCTTCAAAATGGCCCACCCAAGTGTTAGGAGATGATTGATAACAAGCAGCTTTCTGTTTTTCAGTATACCTCCATTTATCTATCAGGTTTGTGGTGTGATTTGGACCATTTACTCATCTAATGCACGTAGAAACTGGGTAAAATTGAAAGGAACGTTATAAACTAATAAAAAAGCTTATTTATTTAAAAATTTGTTTACAATACAGTTTTTACCAGGGTTGTGCCTGAATAATCTAAATAGTTAAAATTTACTGTTTAGAATGTCTTGATATGCTCATTTAACAAGGAAAAAAGTCGGTGTCCTGTAAGAGTTCAGTTTATTTGTTTATATCTCTAGTACTTACCCTACTACAATTAAACATAAGGCAGAAATTTTGAAGTTTCTCCAGTCAGCAAAAGAGCTGTGGGTGCAGTAGATTCAGTGTTACTTCTAACTTCACTCAGCCTCCCAGAATATATCTTTTAAATTCTGACTATTCCCAGGAAAAGTGCTGGTTGTATAGTTTTACTGACAGTATTTCCACAAATTGGATAGAGTCCTTCATTTATAGCCTTCCCATCCCGCTGTGCCCTTGTGTGTGTGTGTGTGTGTGTGTGTGTGTGTGTGTGAGAGAGAGAGAGAGAGAGAGAGAGAGAGAGAGATCGATCTTGTACTACACATAATAGCAGTGCTTCTCAACCTTGGCAGATTTAAGATTGGTGGACTTCAACTCCCAGAATTCCCCAGTAATAATGCTGGTTGGGAAATTGGGGGAGCTGAAATTCACCCATCTTAAGGCTGCCAAAACTGAGAAATATTGTGTTATAGTTTTGATTATATATTGAATTTTAATATGTATTCCTTATAATTGATTTTCTTTCTTATGAAGAAATAATTGGTGATCTAAGATGTGCATAGTATTTATAGGATAGAAACATTTATCACAGGTGTTTAGCACACTTGGTGCCAACATTGGAAGTTTAGCAGAATATTAAGATCTGTATCCTTCACTGAAACTATAACCTGAAATAAATTACTTCTAGAAATAAATTGATACAGGGCAGATAGGAGGTAGGAAAGGAACCTTAATTTTATCCCAAAAATACTGATTTAAAGGGAAGAAAAAATAATGAATGACCAAGTCAATAAAGAAAGGGGAAAGGATTTGACTTTTGGCACTGAGTCTCCAAATTTTGAAAGAAAAGAAGGAACGGAGGGAGGGAGGTTTTAAAAATATTTTAAATGTATCTTAGCTTCCTAACTGTCCCTCTGTTGTACTCATACTGACATACAAAATGTATGAACATTTTAAACATTTTGTCATTTCTGCTTTTAATTCTTTAAAAATTCCTTTAAAACATATTTATAATTGTCTCAATGTAGTATGTAGGGAAGCTATTCTTGCTTATATTTGCTTAAACTTCAGAATATATGTTGTTAATTTTTTCATTACTCCATATTCATAATTTTAGTTTTCAGTCTGTTGTCATTGGTAGGTTTTTCCTTGTATCCTTGTGGACAAGTATTTTAGTAAATTGTGGGTATTTTGTGATATTTTGTTAATATGTTTAGGAATTATACCTAGTAAAATAAATGTGGTTCAATTGCAGATATAATATCTGAATAATGCTGTGTATTTTCAGTATTTTTAAGTTCTTTTACATGTACACCACTTGCAGTGCAGGTAGTCCTGGACTTACAATGCTCATTTAATTAATGTTCAGAGTTACAATGGCCTCAGAAAGTGTGCTTTATGGCTAGTAAAGCTCTTCTGGCCCTTCTGTAAAATGTTACACGACCGCCTCACGGTCAAATGAGCACATTTTGGGAGCTTAGCAACTGGCTCACATTTATGACTATGACCATGATTTGCAACTCTTTTTTTGCCCGTTTCCAGCATTTTTTGCTTTTGAAATTTGGGAGAGTGGGTTTGCACTTACAACTGTGTAATTCTATGAAAACCTGAATAGTAACCACATGAAGGAAACTTTTCTCAACTAGCATAGAAGAAATCTCTCAATATATCTCGATCATTTTTGTTTTTCTCCAGCCTACAGAAGAGGAAAGATAGCTAAATGCCAAATGTAATGATCCAAATGAGAAGCCAATGGGCTTACATCCCAAAATGTAGAGTTTCGATTGTGTTTCTGATTATCAGTTTTTATATATTTAATTCTGTGGCTGCTGGTGTAATAATTTACAGATTTGTCTTTAGTAAAATATACATAATATCAGTCCACTTATTTTGTGCCAATTTTATCTAGAACATAAATATATTTATAAAATGGGTTGTATATATAATGTCTGATTGTTTAAACCTGAAACTTTTATATATGTATCTTTGCTGACAGAACCATCAATGTACAAGTAGAAATAGAGAAAAATATCCTTCTTTAATCACATTTAGTTGGTTATATATAAATATAAATATATGTGTGTGTGTGTGTGTGTGTGTGTGTGTGTGTGAAATAATAAAATATATGAACACCAGGAAGTTACAAAACTATAAAAAGTTTTAATAGAATAAAACCAAGCTTTCGCTGGCTTCTGCCAGCATCATCAGGGTAGCGTTCAGTCGATGGGAGAAGCTATTTATAAATGTGGCGCTCTTTGCGCACGGCTTCTTGACCTCGTCATGGGTCCCAGCCAATCCACCTGCGTTTTGATCGTAGTTTCTGTATTGCAAGCTGTAATTTCCTCACTTTCCTTGCTTGTGCCGATACCATAGCTCTTCCTCCCTTCTTCGTATGACTGTAAGTCAGGGGTACTCTTTAATTCTATGTAGTTAAATGTGCACTGTCTGTGTTTATGTTGTTTATTCCCCTCATCCTCCCTCTTAGTACTCCCTATTTTCATTCTTCTCCCCCTGTTTCTCTGTCTACGATCCTCCTTCACAACTATATCCTCATTGTTCGTCTCCGTAGCCCAGGATTCCATTGTGTTCGTATCATCCTGTTTCCCGATCTTTCGTATCACTTTGTTAACTCCCCTTTCTATTTTCTCTTCAACGGGGGTGATTTTAACATCCTCCCCGGGATTCGTGGCACCCACAAGTTGATTGTTAACCCCTTCTCCCGAGGGGGCTGTCCCCTCACTGTTGTTTATACATTCACTCATTACTTGGGGGTGTGCAACCCTCCTTAAAGGGAGAGAGGCGGGGTCCTTGCGATCATGATTTGCATCTCCTTGTACATTCCTACAGGGGGGTTGTTCCTCTCAAATGTCTGTGGGAGCGTGTGGAGGCTCTAAGATTATAACAAACAACCTCCCCATCTTCCCGTAGTTCTCCTGCATTCCCAAGGCGAGAGCAGCTCAATAGGGAAATGTTGTGGGTGGAGTTAGTTGCAAAGTCGCTGGTGGAGTTACACGTGACATTCCGATCATTCAAATCATGGTTGTTTAATAGTCCGGGATCCATAAAAGATCGCTTCTTTGTCAAACTCCTCGCTGTTCCTGGGGAGACCCTTGATTCATCGGCAGTTGGCTCTTGGTTGTCAATATGCTCCTGCGCCCATGGGAGATGGGCATATGTTTCCGCAGGTGGAGAATTACTCAGCTGCTGATTATTCCCTATCCGGGCATTTCCAAGGCTCATCTCCTCTGTCAACCCTCTTTGCTGAAGGCACGTAATGTTACATTGTTTTCCTCCGGAGGCACGGTCACACATTGCCCATGCTCTTAATGTTATGTGTGCTGGGCATAGGTGCACATGTCAGTTGATGGATTCTTTGTTGGAGAGCCAAGCTTCTTTAAGGAGCAGGCCCCCCTTCATGTTGTCACTGGCCATCACCTGCACGTTATTAAAATTGAACCTATGCCCAGATTCCAGCATATGTGCTCCGATTTGGGAATATTGGTCACCTCTCCTTACCGCCAACTTATGCTTGTGAATTTTAGTTTTCACACGTTTGGAGGTCTCCCCCACATAATTGGCAGAGCAACTTTTACAGTTGATCCTGTAAATGACACTGGACTTCTCTATGGTGGGGAGTGGGTTTTTCAATCTCATCACCTTAGATCGCAACGTCTGGTTAGGGTTATGTGCCACCCTCACGTCATAGGGTGCCAATAGCCTAGCCGTGGCTTCTGAGACGTTGCTAATGTAAAGGAGAGTAATGTGAAGTCTCTGTGATGTATGTTCTTCTATTTGAGACCTGACGGGGAGGGGGGTCTGGATGGTAGTCCATGGCGCCTGATAAACTTCATGGGGTAACCATTGTGCCTGCACACCTTAAAAAGATGCTTCTTTTCTTCCGTCCTAGCCTTAGCAGTGTTGCAGTGGGAGCCTACTCTCTTGAAGAGTGTTCTAATGCAGCTGGCCTTGTGGGCCACTGGATGGTTGCTATCATAGTGCAGAATTCTATCTATGTGCGTGGATCCAGAAGCCAGGCGCAAAGAGCGCCACATTTATAAATAGCTTCTCCCATCGACTGGACGCTACCCTGATGATGATAACAAATATTCAAACCATTTTTTATGAAAACTATTTTGAGTAATGAATTTTGTGAGGTTGATAGAGAACAAGGAATTAATTTTACAGCTCTCCTTACTGACATCAAAAATGGTGGAACCATTGCTGGAATCAATGTTGATCTCAGAGACTGTATAGATGCAAGTTGCCCTTCTTGCATCTTCTATAATTCAATCATTCCCATTGTCCAAAACCAATTGTGACAGCACAATAATAGTAAAATAAACAGAACTCAGAACCTACACTCATGAAGAAGACAAGAAACCTGTCATTTTGATATTCACTGTTTTTACTTATACAAGAGCAACAGGTTTATACGCTCATTGAGATCTATAGAATGCTTGTGAATACAAAAGTGTTTCTTTATATATACTCTGCCCCTTTCTTCAGAAAAGCATCAGTACAAGCTAACTGTTACTTCTTTTCTCAGATTGCCAATTCAAAAACTCTCCTTCCCTTCCCAAATGTATAAATGTATAAAGTGCCATTTACCACCCATTAGCATCTTCTCCAAAACTGAAATGATCTAACAACAGCTCCCCAACCAGCAATTTGCTTGCCTCCAGATGCTAAATTATTTAGATAAACATTTAGAACATTATTGCTCTTTTGGAACAGCTGTTGAGCTTCTGAATCTTTCTTTTAATGTCATCATCATTGTGGAATACTATTTAAAAAGTCCAGCTTTTCTTTAAAAAAAACACAGACACATGGGGTATTCATTGAATAATATGGAATTAAAAAATAAGAAAGTAAAACTCCCATGCTATAATATGTTGCTTTTTTCATACCAGTTTTCTCCCTTCAGATCATTTTAACATGAAGCCTATATCCAATGAAGTTGCAAATTATTTCTCTTAATTAAATGAAACTGCAGCACCATCTATATATGGAGTTTTGTTTGCAGTTGACAATGACAGAAGAGTGTTGAATTAGGAAAAGTATTCAGGTTTACAGGAGGAAATTAATTTCTTTGTGTAATTGAACATCAGAAAAATATATTCTATTATTGAAGTTATGTTGCACAGTATTAATAAAGTATTGAAGCTCATATAAAATTCAGTTGTGATTTGTTTGGAAGTCTCTAATAATACCATAGAGAAAATCTCAGTGATTGTCCTCATGAAACTGGAAGTAATGTAAAACTATCCTGGATGATTCTAGATTGTCTGTCTAACTTTTAGAACATTGCAATTCACATTTTATATAAAATAAGCTATTTTGGATCAAGGCAAAAACCTGTCTACTCCATCATTTTACTTTTCCTAGTTCCAAGATATCTTTTGTATGTTCACCAAAAGGAGAATTGATTTTCAGAATTGTTATACCACCAAGGTTCACACAAGAAAAAAATGAAACCTAGGTGGGAGAATACAGTTATAATACTTATTAATACTTTGTATTAAGTAGATTCTGATGTCATTACCGAATCCTGTACTAGGTACTCATTTTCACACATTTATACTTTTTATTATCTTCTTTACTCCCCCTTATTGTTATTACTATTATTATGATTATCATTATTCTGTTGCTTAGCATGTACCTGAGAGCTTCTGACCCAGAGACAAATTCCTTGTGTGTCTCATCATACTAGGCCAAATATAAAACTCGATTCAACCTGTATTATTTCAAAATTGATTTCAGAATAGTGGTTGAGAATCATGTCTAAATTTAAAAAAAATGTTTGACACAATAGCAGCATGCATTTTTGCATTGATGTACAACAATTTTCTAATTGAGGACTGCTATTAACAGTATGAAAAGGAAAATCAGTGATGAGTAGGATAGCATCCAAAACTGGTGGAGTTGGGGTTGGATGTCTTTCATCTGGTCAGTACTTATATTTTTCAAAACTATCTAATGCTTATAGACTTTGTAGATTTAAATATATAGTATGGTTATTAGAGAATGTTCCAGGCCCTGTAAAAAGCAGGAAAGAATCCTAAAGCTTCATATAGCTTACCTTGATTTACCACAATGCAGAAAAGTACACAATATTTGAGATGACATTTAAATAAATAAATTTAAACTAGATACTGTATGCCACAGTTTGTTAATTTGATATTTCTATGCACTCTAGTGGCAATCTATTCAATGTGCCATATAATTGTATATGGTTACATAAATGTAGCCAAAATAATGGCACTGTCATTCTGGGAAGGAAAATAGCATGAGAAATTTTCTTAAAGAAGAAAATGCCAAATCTGTTCAAGTATTTCAAGAAAAATATTGTAAAAATTGTTTCTGTTGGGAATGATATGATTTTGGATAGTTAATCAATTAATTGATTAGTTTAGATATTTAACCAGGTTATCTGTGGAACCATCTTCCCCTCATTTACATCAGTCCACTTCCCCCAGTTAGGCAGAGAAGATATGTTATAGATCCTGTCGGTTAAAAAACTTTGACTGGTGGGATATAGGAACACAGGCTTCTCTGCTGTCATCCCGGCCCTTTGGAACATCCTCCCCCCCACACAAGTGAAGTAGAGCCCACTGTCCTGGATTTTTAAAAGAGTTTAAGACCTGGGTCTGCTGACTTGTATGGAGTTCACAGAGGAACATGCAATCTTTGGGTTGGTTAGCACCTTTTTACTTTTATTTTATTCCTGTTTCAGCTGCCTTTTTTATTGAGATATTGTCTTTTTATATGGTTTTTATGTTTTTGACTGTACACAATCTAGAGTCACTCTAAGAGTGAGATGGGCAGTCTTTCAATTTGATAAATAAATGAAAGTAAAATTTCTACCGGTGCCATATTTGCAACCTAAAAAAATGAAGTTGCAAAATAATCCTGGTTCAAAAGCATTATTTTTAATATAATATGTAGAAGTAAATATTAATAGGCTGTTTCTTCCATCTTTAAGAATGTTATCAATTTTATTCTGAAAGTAATTATACGTATTGGAAATGATTTCCTAAACTAAAAGTCTAGGAAAGTTTAGGAACTTAGTAAAAGTTTTGGTATTGTAAAAGATATTTCATTCCTATGTGATGTGTGTGTGAAAGAGCATGAGCAGGCAACCTCAAAACTTGCCTTCTGTTATTAAATATTCTATAAGGAACACTTTGCACAAGTTAAAGGGCTTATAGAGTTGCCACTCTACAAAATGTAGAGAAGTATGGAAATGGCATTACATCAGATTTTGACTCTGATCATTAAAAATGGACCTTACTTGTAACAAGTTTTCTTTTTCATTTGGCAAAAGGTTGAATAATGCATATTTTACTTTATTTTGTTGTAGTTCCCAAGGATGGTCTCAAGAGTCAAGCTGCATTTGAAGAAATGAGGGCAAATTATATTAAAGAACTTAGAAAAATGGTAACTAAACATCCAAACAATTCTGGGCAAAGTTGGCAGCGATTTTATCAACTGACAAAGCTCCTGGACTCTATTCATGATGTAAGTAATTTAAGTTACAGTACAGAGGAAAGTATTATGAAGAAGAATCAGATAAATAATCTCCTTGAAGCTCTAATTCTTAGAAAAAACTCATGTTATATGAAGTTAGTACTGTAGTAACAGCTTCATTGGCAAAATATTTGTTATGAAAAAAATTAGCAAAGCATAATATTTTCATATCTCTTTTCTCTCCTTCTGCTTCACTAGTTTTTTGGTAATAGCCAATAAAGTGAAGGAGGAATAGATAGTTACCTACCAAAATAAAGAAATGTTCCCACTTCCTTTACTAAACATTATGGGAACATAGAAAATAAGTTTTGGATTTCAACCATATTAGTTAGGGAGACTAAATAAGTTTCAATCCCAAAGTTCTGAAGCTAAAGATACAGGAAATTATTTTGGGTCATTGAACACTTTCAATCAGTACCTATTATGGGACTGTGGATGAGGAGAATCCACAAAGGTGTTCCCAGAATTAACCTTAAAAGTCACTGAAAATCAGTTGAAGTCTTTTAATTTTATTAAAATGTGACATGTCTCTGAATTCTTAAAAAAGTGTGGCATATACGGAACCAAGTTCTTAATTGCTTTTCTTAATATAGAATCTACATTCATTTCTATATATTGTAATCTTTTTTAAAGATTTTGCTGAGTGTGGTAACTTATGAAACAGCTCCTTCAGTATTTATTTAAAAAAAACTTTGAACATAATGAGTTTGCCACATGACTGTAGTACTATAATCATTTAAATTATGATTTTTTAAAATTTTCCAGTAGGAGTTAATATTTTGCAATTTTATTGAACTTCCAGTTACATGAGGGTATTTGCAAATATCTTTTAAAAGCCATTTAAATATCTTAGGAAAAATATGGAAAATTTTGCCCCATTCTTGCTAGAATAGACACAGTAAAATACACTTTTAAGACATCACTCAGAAACTTTGGCCTTCGTGTGAGAGAGTTTGCATATAAATGTGCCTCTTTGTACTTAACTGGTTTATTTATGAAGATGCAATACAGTATAGTGCATTTCAGGTCAGATCTGTATGAAAGCCTGAGGTTTGTTTACAGAACATACATATGGAATTATTTGTTGAGTAATGTGCTGTTAATTAAAACACTGAAAGATCTTGGTGGGAGTCAAAGTATTATTAGTACTGCAATAACAGCTCATTCTTTAGAGACTTGCATTTGCTTTGAGGAGGGGAATCGGGTTGTTGTTTTTTTTTTTTTGTTCAACATCAGCTTGCTCTGCAAACCAGATTAGTTAAGCATTTTTGGATTAAATCTAGTAGAATTTCAGATTCACTGTTTCAATTAATGCTTTGCTTAATTCAATCTATCCAATATATGTAAATATAGGTTATGTAGGAGGATGGATGAGAGTTGGGGTGGTGTATGGATGTGCATTATGTTTAATATTCAATATGATTAATATTTAATATATTTATTATCATGTATTTTAATAGTCAGAATATTTCCATTTTTATGCATATTTGGACTGGTTTTAAGAAGCCTCTAAGAAGAAATCAAAGATCCTGTAGGTGTATTACTGTAACTCCTCAGAATGTCTGGATGATATTCTTACAAACAGTTTCCTTTGTGGTACTACCCTTTCTATTTAAATATATATTTATAACAAAAGTGTTTATATATTATCTGTACCTATTATCTTTCTTTCTTTCTTTATCTATCTATCTATTTCTAATCTCAAAAGATCACGTTTCTCATTTTCAAAATTACTCTGATTATATAACAAAAGGGTTTTAGCTTTATTTTTATAGTTTTTAATGTGTTTAACTGTTTTTAGCTCTGTTGCACACTGCCCAGTCACTTGTTTGTGAGAGAGGTGGCTATAGAAATTGGTTTAGTAAGACAAACAAGCAAACATTCTGCCTCACCTCAACTTGGATATGGAAAATCACTGATTTTCACCTCTTCAAAATACTTGTGTTACAGGATAATTTTGAAAATGAGATTGGAAATACCTTTGAGAAAATTGCATAAAGTCCTTGTCTTATTAAATTGGTTTAAGCTAGTACATATTTCAAAAAGTAATATATTATTGTAGTGCCTCCAGTGGTTCCCTTCAGTTACATCATTTATTAAACTAGCTGTGTAGAATAATCCAAAGGTCATGTACAAAAAAAAATATCCTTGCGCAAATTGTCAATTGTCCCATTTGGCACATTCTTGGCTCTTTTAAATTACCAAGAGCATAGCATTATTGGAATATCCATCTAGGTACAGCAGAAGCAAAGTCAGTTCTGGGATTTTCCCACAAAAACCCACATAGGTAAAACCTCCTTTTCCCCCTCGGATCACCCTCAGTTCATAGTTCACCAATTAGGTTCAGTTCTTTTGTTTTGGGAAAAGACTGTCTATGCTGCTCAAACATTTCAGAACTTGACCTTGGTGTCTAACATCTCACCGGCAACAGAAGGCACTCTTGCATTCCAGAGTTTCCCTCCCTCCTTAGGAATTAGCCCATCCCCCTCCCTTGCTGTTTGGCAAACTGAGAGCGACAGCAAGTGCAGCTATGGAGTTGAGTCAGGTTTGACACAAAGAAGGAACTGAGCTACTTCAAATATAATAGCAAATTATAAATATAATAATTTGTGATTTAGGCAGTAACAGCAACAGGAAAATTTTACATTATTTTAGTTGGTATTCTCATGGGAAACATATGTAAATGCCAAAAAATGCCAAGTTGAGGAAAAAGCTCCTGAAAAGAAAAGGTATGCAGATTAAAATTGTAAAACATCAGCACATTTATATATAGACTCCCTAATTTCTAAAAACAAAAAAAGAAATTAATGAATTGACTTTAGACACAAAGTCATAGCACTGAGGAAATCAGATTTAAGTTGACGTAGAACCTATAAAGCAGGGGTCCCCAACCCCTGGGCAGTGGTCCACTAGTGGGCATTGAGGCCTTCCAAACTGGGCCATGGAAGTGGCAGGTGAGCCCGTGTGCATCCCCACTTGCATGAGCAGCGGTTAAATGTGGGTGCACATGCTCCATTTGTGCAAGCAGTGGGCACTTGCTGCTCATGCAAATGGAGCTGCTCACATGGAACCATCCCTCTCCTCCCCCCAGCCAGTCTGTAAAGCCAGAAAGGTTGGGGAACTGTGTTCAAAAGAGATTGGAAGAAGTAGCTCATATCTGTACATTTGGACAAAGAAGCTTACAAAGCTTCACCTCACAAAGATGGCACTATGTTGGGGAAGTGGAAGTCTCTACTAAATTTTATTATGATACAGCAAGTCAAGCTTAATTAATTTTGAAATTCATTATTTTTTCTTCACTTAATAGCTTGTATCAATAAACTGGCATAAAAGATATACAAATAAAATAAATTTTAAATAATTAGTTTCTTTTTCTGTTCAAAGGAAAAAAGATTATAGATCGGGGGAGTAGTTGCTTTGTTGTTTGGGGTTTTTTTGTGGAAGGTTCTCTCCAAAAACAAATAACAAAAACAAAGTTGCTGTAAGGGTTTGCCTCAAGAAAGCAGAACTTTGAAACAGGCATTGTTTCAAAAGGAACTTTTGTTGAGAGTTAGTGATAGCAATAGAGCAAAGCAAGGTCTGAAGAATTTGCGTATGAAAGGTTACATCATAATGCCCATTCAGGACTCTTCCCTCCAGTGTCCAACCATTCAGTTGAATCCAGCCAATCCATAGGTGCTAGATTGTTTTGAGAACCTAGTGATTTAGCACCCATCTCAAGGTCTCTCATGCTTTCATTTCCCAATAATACCAGGCTCCTTTGTCTGGAGGTAAGCCAGATGTTTTCAGACCACATTCCTTTCTCACGAAGGGAGGACATTTCAAAGAGGACAGAGCTGAGCCAGGCAAATACATTCCTCAGGCAAGCAGCCCCTCTCCCACCAGAATGGCAGACCCTGAAAAGGAATTCACAGGCAAAGCAATAATATGCAGGCAAATACATTGGAGGGGTCTGACAGTGGCAGTGAGATAGATTCATTGATGACTGATTGGTATGCGCTGGCACTGATTTTTGTCTTAAAAACACTAACGAAGTGTGCCCATACAAATGTATATCAAATACCAAACTTCCAAATACAAAATCACAATCTTTTGGTTAGGATTAGAATTGAAGTGTAACAGCCCAGAAGTTAGGAATTAGAACTGTCAGAGAGTTTTGTTAAAATAGTTTTAGGTAGTTGAATAGATAATCCAGTCAAAATCGTTTCAAGATTATAAGAAGTTAAGAACAGTTTTACTTGTACAAAATTGTGTGTCACTCAGTAGCCATTCAGAAAACTCACAAGCAGATAAAACATCATAACTCTCTTTCATAGTAACTTTTTCCCTAGCCTCTTATCTTTAAAATATAGTCCCTGATTTAGAAGACAGAATTTACCTATCAAGCCTAATATGATTTGCCCATAAGTATGACCTTTTTAAAACAAATTATTAATGACAAACTAAACCATTACAATGATGATTTAACTTGAAACTTGCTGGATCATTGTAAATAATGAAAATCATTGTGATAGTTATGTAATTCAATTAAACTAATTATTATTTCTGTTGATAGAGAATTGGAAAAAATATTCATTTTCTGCGAATTCCTTCTTGACCTCTCAGTTTTTAAAAATTCTCACATTTTTTTAAAAAAACTAATTGATAAAAACAAAAATTAAATTGAAAAGGTAGTACGTTAAATAAATAAAATTTTAATAAGGTGCTATTAGAAGCATTATGTGATTTGAATACATAGTGCTGTGTGAAGCTTATTTCCATTTCACAAACTAGGTCAGAGGGTGATAATAATTCACTGTGCTGTGAGAAATGGAGACAGAGATTTCAACAAATCCTTTTCAGGCCAGCTAGTTGAGTTTGCCATCCTGGAGAAATGTAGTTATATCATTATGGGATTTTTAGTAGTTATAATATTGATTAGAAAGGAATTGTATTTTTTAAAATAAAAAACTAGCCTTTCAAAACACAAATAATTCTAACAATTTTTCTTCTTCTTCTTCTTGTGCCATATCCATTATCGGACGTTGGCGATCATGTTGGCGATCCTGTTTTTATCAGCAGCTGCACGAAAAAATGCTGCTGAGTTTTGTCCAAACTAATCCCTTAGATCTTGAAGCCACGGTGTTCTTCTTCTGCCTGGACCTGGTTTGCCTTCAATCTTTCCCTGGAGGATTGAATGGAGTATGCCATACTTTTCTGGGTGTCGCATCACATGTCCGAAATATTCTAATTTTCATTTTTTAATTGTTTTGATGATTTCCCTTGGCTTTTCCAGGTGGCTTATCACCTCCTCATTTCTGATCTTGTCAACCCAGCTTATACATAACAGTTTTTCACAGACTTATAATTAATTAATTGTGAAATGTATGGAAACTTATTTCTAAAATATAAAGTTACTGTAGAAGAAGAGCAGGCAAAGCTGGGTAAGGCAGAGTTAAATGCATCATTAGCTTAGAATCATTGCATTCCCACAAGTGCTCCTAATCCAATCCCTCCTGAATTCAATTGACCTTTATTGTGTGGAACTTTAATTGACCAGATTCTTGTGTATAGGATTGAATAATTTTTCTATGTTGCTGTCTTCTGAATGGTCCTGATTCCTTGTACCTGACAATTACATAATTATAACTAATCATTATAAACCTGGAATTGGATACAGTAAGTATATATAGCCATTCTGCTATAATTGGAACCCAATCCACAGCTCCCAAGGCAGCATCCCAGAGTGACAGAATTCACTGGACAGCTTCCTCTTGAGTCAGAGATAGGATTCCAATCTCAGATCATTAATATCAGATTATTTTTTTACACCTGTCCATTAAATTTGAAGGTGTATGCTGTCTGAAGTTGGTTTTCTTATTTCTTGTAGATCAAGAACAAGACAGTAAATCAGTGGTTCTCAACCTGTGGGTTGGGACCCCATTTGGGGTCGAATGACCATTTCACGGGGGTCACCAAACCACGCTGTCCGCCATTTTTCCCCTTTTCCCTAGCTGTCCTACTCCCTGTTATTGGTGGCCACACCCACTTGGGGGTCACCACAACATGGGGAACTGTATTATGGGGTCATAGCATTAGAAAGGTTGAGAACCACTGCAGTAATGGAGATGTATTGTATGCTTCCACCATCTTGTTACTTGCTTTACTACAGTCTTCAGTTGCCTAGAATGGAAGCAGGGTAATTAGAATAACCAAAGCAGCTGTTTTGCTTCTCTTTGCCAGAGCAAGGGAAAAAATGGTCAACCATCTATTAACTTTTTTTTAATGTTAGCATGACATGGCTGCCTGGAACTGATTTGAATTAAAAAGAATTTTTAACTGCACACATACATTAACTTTGCCCACAACTCAGTTAGACTCTTGTACAGAGAATATGTGCTATCTGTTTGCACGATCCTTCTTATTTCTTCATTCCACCATCACAAGTATTGTCTTCTGTCCTTTTCTTCCGTTTGCCCAGCATTCATTCTTTCCATACCATGTTCTATTTCTTTGCACTCCCTTTATTTTTTCTTTTTAACGTTTCTTTTATCTTTCTTTCTTTCTTTTCTTTTTCTTTAAGTTGCTGCCATAGCTGCCTTCTTTCATCACCAGAAATTCTGTCTTGAACCTAGTAGATACAGCCAAGCACCTTGCAGACATAAATTTGTGTAATAAAATCTAGCAGTGGGGAGAGTATTATTATGTCCAAGATAGAAAAAAATACGTTTGCCAGAAGAATGTATAGCAATGCAGTTTTAAAGCAAGGACAACTGAAGGCAGGAATCTGTATTAACACGGAGAAATAGACTGAGGGATCAAGAGTTTGATAGGCCTGTAAAGACACTGATTCTGTTCACCTTCTTCGAACTGTATTTTTTGGAGCAAATGGTTCAAAAATCAGTTTTAGTTTTGGTGCTTCTGGCTTTAGGAATTCTCTCAGCCTAACTAAAATAAGTGCTTTGTGACTGACCCATGTCCAGCACAAAAGTTTATGTACAAAAGTACATCCCCACCCTAGCAGCAATTTAATGATGAGGATCCCAAATCCAACTCTGCCTATGACCCAGAAAGCCTTGGATTGCCCTACACATCCGACTGAAAGTTCAAACTTATTTTCTAAATATTGTAACAACATTATAGGAGATAAAACTAATGGAAATAGGGCATGCTCAATATTGTTATTTCATGGATTTTCTGTTATTTTTTGTGTGATCCATTAGTAAAAGGCCAATGAAAGAGAAACATTTAGAAAAAAGAGAAGCTCCTGAGAAAAAGGGAAATGGATGTAAACTAGTTGTAGTTAAAGTTTTCTAAATCTTGCCTTCAATGTTTGTATAAAAATGAGTATAAGTAAAGACTATAATAGTGATGGCAAACCTATGGCACACATGCCAGAGGTGGCACTCAGAGCCCTCTCTGTGGGCACACCTGCCACCACAGCAGCCAGCTCGCACAGGTCCATTAGGCCACCGCTGGTGCCCAGAGCGGCAGCCCCACCCAGCACAAAGGAGGTGAAGCAGCTGGCTAGCAATCTCGAGTAGAGGTGGTAGAGCATGCCCCCATGTGCTCCCTGGCCTCTGTGTGGGGGGGCAGATAGTGTCAGGCAGCAGTCACCCCTGACTCACCTTGCCCCACAGCAATGGCACCCCCGCCCTGCCCTCTGCCTCACTCCACAGCCTCCTACCCACCGCCCCACCAACCAGAGACCCCTGGATCTCCCCCAATCCTGCCAGCCCCCACAGGCATCCCCCCACAAGCAAAATCAAGGTGGCCACGCCCATCCTGGCCATGTCTATTCAGTTGCCGTGACCACCACAGCCATGCCCACCCAGTGCGCCATGCCCACCACCCTGAGGGCACCACAAAGCTGATGCGGCCCTGGCACTTTGCAATAAATAAGTGGGTTTTGGGTTGCGGTTTGGGCACTGGGTCTCTAAAAGGTTCGCCATTACTGGACTATAACCTTAGGACAATTTGAGGCAGTTTCACAGGTTTATATCACTCACTTTATACATAAAATATGCATAATCAGAATTTTAAAAAAGGGAAATGGATGTGGCAAAATTTGCCATTTTTGTTAAGGAGGGAAAAAAAGCATTTGTAAAGTGGCACCAATACTCTGTTTGAAGAATTCCATTTTCTCCTGTTCAACTTCCAGTTCATGACTGTAAAACCAAGATGTTTGTTACAAACCAGAGTAAATGATATGCTAGTTTATTTCAGTGAAACTGAAGCAGAAGTAATTTTCTTCAGTTCACAGCTACTTTTTGCAGAGATTTGGAAAATAACATTGCTTTAAAAGAGGTGGTTCGCAACAGGCTGGAGCAAATACAAAGTAACCATTTTAAAATCATTATAACAGCTGTTTTTGTCAAGGTTTGTGGTGCTGCTTTGAAAACCACTTTCGGTTGCTTTCACATGTGAGAATGCTGTGCAAACTCATGCAGGTATAAAGATTCAGAGGCAGCCTTCCTACAAATGTGCAAGCCTGGAAAATGAACAAACTTCAGGGTTCAAATCAAGTAAATTTATTACAGTCAAAGACCAGAGACCAGAACAAGTTAAGTTCAACAAGAACAAGTTCAAAGAAAGGTGTGTCAGATGTGTTCTCAGGTGTTTCACCACATCTTTTTTCAAAGAATTTGCACACCCTCCTGTTTCACATTGCTTTTTCAGTATTACGAACTATTTTCAACATCCATTAATGCTCACCATTCCTGACTTTTTTCTCCCATTCCATTTCAGCTTGTTAGTGATTTGCTGGAATTTTGCTTCTACACCTTCCGAGAGTCTCAAGCTCTCAAAGTGGAGTTTCCAGCCATGCTGGTAGAAATTATCAGTGACCAGTTACCCAAGGTGGAATCTGGGAATGCCAAGCCCCTCTACTTCCACAGGAAGTGACAGAACATGTCTTAATGGAAAAAAAGAAAAAGAAAACTTTGCCTTAAGTTCCCCTGCGCTATTCCACACCCATGAAGGAGCCAAGAAGCCACATTTAAAGTGTACTATTTAAAATCGTTCAACAGTGTCTCAGTAGTCTAAAGACAATATGAAGGTTTGGAGAATGGAAAACAAGCATCTTACATGAACTTGGTAAGACAAACTAGCCAAGATGTTTATGAACACCAGGCTACCCCGAATATTCCCAGCATTTAAAAAAAGAAATATTCCTGTTCCTCTGGATAAAAAGCCATATCTAGTCAAATAACTCCTTGATTTTGATATATTAACAGAAGAACATTTTAAATATGTCATGTAATTTCTGGTATTGTTTGCTTGTTTTAAAAGGGTTTAAGAACTATTATGAACTTTTAAAAAAGCTTACCATTGGTTTGCACATAAATAAAGTCAATATGGGGCATTAATTCTTGTACTATACACAAACACACACACATACGTAGAAACAAAATCAAATTCCTGGATATGTAACATAGATAATGGAACATTTTGGTGTGGAATAATCTTGGTATATTCACTTGCGGCATTTGTTATCCCATGTTATCCATCATAGATGATCTACACTGTGTTAAGTGTTCATTTATTATTTAACTTGAAAGGATAAGATATTAAAACAAATGCCTCAGTTTCAATTTATAGTATATTGTGCTGGCTTTACCAATAATTTTTTGCAGTCTTTTGCTGTACTGTACAATGCTGTATGTATAAATTGAAGGACCTGAAACAAATGGTATAAGGAACTTTTGTAAATGAGACCTAAAATCTTTAATGGTTAATAGGATGAATGGGAAAGTATTTTTGGAAGAATTCTATTTTGCTGGAGACTATTTAATTACTCTTTTTTGTCTAAACACAAGGGTTTTTTTCTTTTTCTTTTTTTGTAAAGTGAATTGTTCTGCATGCATAATGAAACGTTTACAGTGTATTTAAGAAAGGGAAAGCTGTGCCTTTTTAGCATCATATCTATCTCACAATGTCTGTTGTAAATAACCACCCATAATTGTTTCCAGTTGTTTTTTTTCCATCCAACTTCCTCAGCATTTGTCTACTACTTTTTACGTCCTTTGAGCACAATGAGTCTGCTTCAAGCCTCTTGCTGTGTTTGCAGCTTTATACACATTTTATCCAACAAGATAACGTTAACAAGGATAGACTCCATCATTACATCGTTTTCTACATGTTCCATTAAAGCTAATAAAGCTGTGCAGATAATTTGGTTCCTATTTCAGTGGAGCCTGCTTAAGTCAGCTATATGATGATTGTGCCCAGTTTTTTTCCCCCTCAGGATCAAATGAGATTCTGTTCCCCAACCTGTTCAATCTGAAGGTCATGGTCCTACAGAAAGGCTTATCTATAAACAATACACTCTCAAACACATTGCCTTCCAAGCAAGTCTCATTAACAGTGTAAAACCCTACAGAGTATAGTGATCTACTTATTTTGGGGTTGTTTAATTTTATGTCCAAATTGTGGTTAAAGAATTGTTTTTCCTTCCTTTTAAAACGGGTGTCAATGTATATTGCCAAAGTGTGGACAGCAAATCTGAATATATAGGTGGAAATAAAAATTATTCCACATCCTAGATACATTTGAATGATAATAAGAATAGGGGCTATTAATGCTAGGTAAGTCAGCAACTCAGTAACTGTATATAGGATTGCAATTTAATTTAGTACAAAATACAAAATGTTACTCTTAAAATGAGCCTTAAAATGAGAGACAATTTTTAAAATCTGGATCTCTCTTACAACTATGTTATGGGGACAGTGTCTTTCTTGTGATGATCATTACTATATATCATTTGAATAATTTAAATATCTAGCATAACTATTAAAAACTAAACTTATGATAATTGATATTATATACAATAATTTTCTAAAACAAAGTCTAGATAACTTCTTTGAGAAAAATAAATGATCTTTTAGGTTGAAATCCTATGTACAATTATTTGAGAGTAAGTCCCAGTGGAATTACTTAGTAACCATGCTTAGCACCTGTTACTAATAACCAAATCTGGGATCCAAAAGTTTTTTTAGGCATGCTTAAAGTTTGGGTATGTTCCTTGGAACCTTTTGCAATTAGCAGCAAATATCCTAATGTACAAACTATTTTTAAAAGCATTGTTTCAAAAACAGTTATGGAGCATAAATAGAAGCCCAAGTGATTCCTTGAATCCTAACCATTCATGAAGTTTCTGAAACTTAAACAGGTATTTGCATTTCCACCTCGCATCCATAAAATTTAACTAAATCCATAGCAAGTGGATTTCTCAAACCAGTTTCCCTGTGCATCCTCAAATCTCTCTAAGGATCCTCATCCATCTGGAACAGCTTTATAGAGGAAGGGAAAATCTGATCTGCTGATCTGCCAGTACTGTTAATTCCAGTAGTAGACAAGCAGAAATGAATTCAATTCAACTTGACATTTTTGAGCCATACAGTTTTCTGAATGAGAATCTATGGAAAGAGAAGAATCAAGATATACATTAAACAGCCATATATTGGGTTGAATCCTGACAATACTAACTGAACTTAATTCCAGCTGAAATAAATGCAATTTAATAAATTCATTTGCAGTTTTGAAAATCAAAATCCTTTATCAGCTCTTTGGACTGCACAGCAATATGAAACTGTATTTCTACAGTGATAAAAATATATAACATGCAACATGATCGTTTATATTAAATATCCTTTTTATTAAGTTTTTTAAAAAAAACTTACTGAAATTGGAATTTTAAATTATCCAGGTTTGTGGTAAATAATGCAGCTGTTTTTTTATTAGCAAAGTTACAAAATATTTTTCTATCTCCAAGTAACTTTGCTTGATTAGAATATTAAAGCCATATTATTTTCTTTTTTTAAATTCACTGGTAGATGTCAGTTGTTTGGTTACTCTTATTTTTTTGTACCTTATTGCATTTAATTGTGGTACAATTCATAAATCTCAGAACTGTCATGAATAAAACACTAAATTAGTTTTAAAACAATTTATAACTTTATGCAAAATAGCTATCTTTGCAAGAAGAGTATGCGGATTATAATAAATTCTTTAATCACCTATTCATGAAACCATTGATTATTGCTTAGAAATCATTAAAATGAACTTCAAATAAAAGGAAGGTATCAGGAGTACATTGTATTTTAGAAGGAAATAGATATTTGTCTCCTGCAAAATAAGATAAACAACTTCAAAATGTGAAAATAATTGTGTTGATTGAGTGTAATGATTTTGTGGCAATGACTGAAATTACACAGGAAGAACATTGTATTTATATAAATGTAAAATAGTTTTAATTTACTGCAGTGTATATTTCAAGAATAATATTGCATTGCAGTGTGTAACCATTCTGTTGCACAGAACAAAACTGAAAAGGACTAAAAGCTTGCAATATCAAAATCTTAAAATAAAATATACTTTATAATCAATAATGCAAAAATCTAATCACAGGGTGGTATTTTCACTGACTTTTAGAAATCTTTCGGAATTTAAACCATACTACATTTAATGCACTTTTAATTGTCTATTAAAGATGTGACATTTTTGATAGAGGGGAGAAAGAAAGAAGGAAAGGTGCAATTTTATCTGGCAGATGACTAACTTGTTAGGTAGCAGTTATAATGCCAGGATTTTCAGAGTTATGTTTCAAAGTTCATGGAGTTAAGGAGCACATTACACCAAGAACTTAGCGCTTCTGCAGGAGAAGTTCTTGGTGGTTGTGCCCTATTATTACTGGATGAAAAAAGCAGCCAGCACTACAGTATAAAACAGCAACATCTATGCATAATGATGCATTAATAATTAGGAGCTTGCTTCTGTATGTTTAAACCTTTTGAATAAATACAAAATTACTGTTTGGCCTTTATGTTATTGTCTTTAAGTACATAATTTTTATAAGTTGTATAAATATACACAAATTAAAATGGTGTGATCATAGTAATTTCTTGTGCTTTGCTATAAATCAGACTAATCTGATTATGCATCTGTTTCTTTAGGCAGAGATTCACTAAGGTGCAATATATTATGTCCAAGATGCTCTTTTACATCACTCTTCTGTCTTCTACATATCTGAATTCCTGCTTTCATAATATGCTTCATTTGGCTCTGCTATACTGAACACTTCTTTAAATGCACAAAAAGGTCAATTCACTTCTGCAGTGGCATTTAAAATCCCTCATATGGAGCTATTTTTTTTTTTTTAGTGGAGTAGAACTTCCGAGTAGACACCCAGTTAGAGAGCTAGAAGATGACTGTAGTGATATATCAGTAACTCATTGTGGGTCTGCAACTCATTATGGGTAGGGAAGGTTCTTTTACAAAGAACTGGATTAGCTACATTCAAGTATAAGGACAGTGCAGTGGATATGCAAATTGACTTTTATTCTATTCTTTAGTTTGTCCTGCCCTCAACCAAACAGCACCACTTCTGTCTAACTATGGAAGTGTCATAGAATTCCAATTTTTCAGGCTTCTGAATCACATGAAGCAAAAAATGGTTGTAGGGATTTTCCCAGAGCTTTTAACTATATGGAATTAAAAGCAAATTCTCCATTAGAAACCATGGTGGGGTAATGATATACTATGAGTATGCTCTATTCTGCCTAACATGATTACTAGTACAATTTATATTGCCATGTCTGAACAGGGCAAAAGGTTTTTGAAGTGCCTCTGTTCACACAACAGAACAAGCTATAGTGAATAAAGCACCAATGACTGTAGTGACCTATGATAAGCCAAATCAAAGAAACTACACAATGATTTAGTATGATATGTGAAGCAACCATAACAGAGTCAGTGTCAGTCAGATACATATTAGAAATCTGAAACCATCAACCACCTTTTGAATGTTTGTTGTTTCAATGAGAATCAGAATCACTAATTATCTATTCACTATTCTCAATGAATTGCATCTTCATTGTTCTTGGACAGCATTATTTTCCTGCCTTTTAGAAGATTTTAAATGCTTCCTCACAAGAATGCCTTCGTTACATTGTGAAAACTAACCAATGGCAATGGTGATTCTGATCCCTGGCCTATTATAGAACAGTTGGTATGCTATTAATGTACTACTAAAAAAAAAGTAGATGGTCATGGAAAAATTATCTCAATTTGACAAGTTGGGGAAAGTTAGGAATTTTCCTCTACTTATGACTTAGTAAAGTATGTATAACTGGCAAGGTAGAAGGGCAAATCTATTTCAGGGAATCTCAGCAGTACCAAAACTGTATAGGTCCTAACAATGAAAGCAAAATCCCACATTTCTTTACATTATACAGGTAGTCCTTGACATGCAACCAAACTGAGCCCAAAATTTCTGTTGCTGTTAAGTGAATTTTTCCCCATTTTACAACCTTTCTTGCCACAGTTGTGATTTTGTTTTCATCTGGATTTTCAATGAATGGTCAGCATCCAGTGAGGGAACAAAGGATTTTAGAAATGAACCACTGGCTTAAGGGATGGTGCCACCAAGAGAACTTAAAATTCCCACTACATGAAGAAATTCTGGAAAGGAATGGGCTACACTTCACAAGAACTGGGAAGAATGTATTCGGAAAACTACTGGTTCAACTTATTCAAAGGGCTTCAACTAAAAATGAGGGTGGGCTGACTAATCTTTAGGACCTAACCTCATGCATAAACTCCAAGACAACCAATTAAACAAGGAGTTAGGGAGTGATGAGAAGGAAGAAAAACTCAAATATAAAGCAGGAGATGTAGGAAGCATATCCAGGGTCAGTCATAAAGGACTCAGATGCCTACATTAATGCTCAAAGTTTGGGGAATAAACAGGGTGAACTTGAAGTACTATTAGATGAGGACAGATGTGATAACATTTGCCATTACCCAAACTTGGTGGGATAAAAGTCATGACTGGAATGTAGTGCTGGAAGGATAAACTGTTCAAAAGAAATGGACAGAACAAAAGAGGAGGTGGAATTGCATTATATGTAAAGCATTACTATACCTCTACAGAAATGCATATAACCAAGAAAGTCCCCCTGAATACCTATGGGTTAATATAAAAGAAAAAAAGGAATGAGGCTGCCATAGGTGTTTATTATAGGCCACCCAACCGAGCAGACAAAATAGATGAACTTTATGCTATTCAGTTAACTAATGTACATAGGAAACACACCTCTGTAGTAATGGGGGACTCTGACTACCCTGACATCAAGTGGGAAACAAACTCTGCATCAAGTGGGAGATTGAACAGGTTCCTTATGAGTCTAGCTGATAACTTTGTCATCCAAAAGGTAAAGGAAGGTACTAGGGGATCAGCTATATTGGACTTAATTCTTACTAACAGAGATGAAATGATAGAGGGGATTGAAGTTGCAGGTACTTAGTAGGACAGCAACTATGTTATATTGGAATTCAATATAAAGTAGACACAAGCAACACAACAAAATCAAATTAGTGACTTAGACTTTAAAACAGCTGGTTCCACAAACTTAGAGAGGGGTTGGGAAGGATCCCATGGATGAAAATCTTAAAGAGAAAAACAATTCAAGAAAATTGGGAAACTCTAAGAAATGTGATTATAAAAGCCCAGTACACCACAATACCACTGAAAAAAAAAATAAGAAATCCAAGAAGAAACCAGCATGGTTGCATAAAGAATTCCCTGATAAACTGAAAGACAAAAAGAATAAGTATTAAAAAAAATGGAAAGAGGGATACATAAATAAGGCAGAATACCAGCATATAGCCCAATTCTGCAAAGATGAAGTCAAAAACAAATGTCAAAAATAATAATAAAACTTTCAACATATAAAAAACAAGAAAAAAGTCAAACAATTGGTCCACTGATGGGAGAAGATGGCAAAGAAGTGATGGGCAGCAGGGAGTACACAGAACTGCTTAAATTATTCTTTGCAATTCTCTTCACACAAAAGAGAAAAATAGCCGAACCTACAAAAAACAGAACATTAAAAGACAGACTAGGAATACAAATTAAAATAAGGAAGAAAATGGTAAGAGACTACCTGCCCACCCTAAATGAGTTCAAGTCACCAAGACCAGATGGATTACATCCCAGAGTTCTGAAGTAGATGGCAGACATGATCCCAGAACCATTGAACCAAATCTTTCAAAGATCCTGGAGCACAAGTGAATTATTAAACGACTGGAAAAGAGCTGATGTGGATCCAGGAAACTACAGACTAATCAGCCTGACATCAATATCTGGGAAGATCCTGCAAAAGATAATCAAGCAACAGATCTGCAAATACCTAGAAGCAAGCAAAATTACAACCAGAAACCAACATAGATATGTCAAAAAACAATCATGCAAAACAAATCTTATTTCATTCTTTGACAAATTGACTAAATTAGTGGACCAGCAAAATGATGTGGACATAGTATACTAGGATTTCAGTAAGGCATTTGACAAACTAGACCAGGGGTCCCCAACTCCCAGTCCATGGACTAGTACCAGGCCATGACATGCCAGCAACCAGTCCACACAAAAAAGCAAAGTCCCATCCATGGGATGTAGGCAGCACACAAAACCATGCACACTCTGGTCTGCAGAAAAACCTCTCTCCATGAAACTGGGACATGGTGCCCAAAAGGTTGGAGACCTCTGAATTAGATTACAACCTACTTCTTAGAAAGTTCGAAAAATGTGGGAAAGACAGCATCACCACCAGATGGATTTATAACTGGCTGACAAACCGCATTCAACGTGTAATCCTTAATGGAACTACATCTACACTGAGGGAAGTAAGTGGTGGGATATCTCAGGTTCTGTCTTCAGCCTAATACTTTTTAATATCTTCCTAAAAGATTTAGATGAGGGTTTAGAAGAAGAACTCATCAAATACGCAGACGAGCTGCAAATTTGGCAGGAATAGCCAGCTTCTCACAAGATAGGCTCAAGATCCAGAAGGACCTATCTAACAAAATGAAATTCAATTGTGAGAAAAATAAAGTTTTACAATTAGGCAAGAAAAATCAAATGTACAGGTACAGAATAGATGGAATCTGGCACAATAGCAGTAACTATGAGGGATCTTAAGAGTCCAAGTGGACAATCATTTAAATATGAGCCAGCAGTGTGCTGCAGCCACCAAAAAAGCCAATGCAATCCTAAACTGCATTAACAGAGGGACAGAATCAAGATCATGTGAAGTATTAATACCACTTTATAATCCCTTGGAATACTGCATCTAGTTTGGTCACCACAATATAAAACAGATGTTGAGATTCTGGAAAAGAGTGGATAAGAGCAACAAAGATGATTAGGGGACTGGCAATTAAAACATGAAGAACAGTAGCAGGAATTGGGTATGTTTATTCTAGTGAAAAGAAGGACTAAAGGTGACATAACAGTGTTCCAGTCTCTGAGGGACTGCCACAACCTATTCTCCAAAACATCAGAAAGCAGGAGAGAAAGCAATGGATGTAAACCAATCAAGGAGAGAGCCAACCTAGAACCAAGGGGAAATTTCTTGACAGCGAGAATAGCTTGCCTTTAGAAGTTGTGGGTGCTCCATCACTGGAGGTTTTTAAGAAGAGATCGGACAGCCATTTTACATAATGGTCTCCTGCTTGTGCAGGGCATTGGACTAGATAGAAGATCTCCAAGGTTTGTTCCAAGTCTGACATTCTGTATCAGTGTAGTTCTTAAGTTAATAACACGGCTATTAAGTGAATCTGGCTTTCCCATTGGCTTTGATGGTCAGAAGGTTGGCAAAGCTGATCACATGACCCTTGGATGCTGCAATTGTCATAAATGAATCAGTTGCCAAGCTTTTGAATTTTGATCAGGTGACCATGGGGATGCTGCAACGGTTGTGTGAAAAACGGTTATCACTTTTTTCAGTGCCATTGTAACTACAAATGGTCACTAAAAGTTATAAGACAACGGACTGTGTGGCTCCTACAGCATAAACATTTACTATAACAGTAGATTATGCAGCAATTCTTTGGTCTGCTCCTGGTTCTAGATACTATGCAGGGAAAGGGCATGAGCATTGGCCCCTCATAATTACCCAAGCATCACATCACTTACATAATAATATATAATGCTTACACATTAATAGCACATTCTGAGGAAAAAGCAAGTTTTGCTCAAAACCAGCATTCGAGTAGAAGCCTTTTTCTGCTCGTTTCTAGTAACACTGCCTCACTGAGAAATGGCTATTATTTTCAACTCTTGAATTGGATCCTTTCATTAGAAAGATGAAACTAAATGATGCCTAATTAGCAATCTAATTCTAACCCAAACATGAGGAAGAGTAGAATGATGCTTGTTGCCCTCATTCTTAGCTATTCCATGAAATTGTGAAAAGGACTGTAGTTTCTTATACATCACCCAGAGAATCTTGATTAATCATGCCTGCATGAGGAAACTATGAGCATACTGTTTTGTGTTAGCCGAAGGCATCACAGAGATTCTATGTCCCTTGAGTACAATCATACTGGGAAAAAGAAGAAGAGATAAATGAAGCTCAGAACTGTGTGTGTCTCAAATGCCCTTCTAATAGTTCAAACAGACAACCTGATTTCCATTACATTATTCCACAGGCATCTGTGCTGTTTGGGGTAATATTTCCAAACTGCTTGATGATCTCCCAAGCAGAATCACCTTTAAGCTATCTGGTACTGATTATAGCTTTAGATACCAAGAACTATATTAATGCCCCCCAGTCTGGGAAAGTTCCAGTTGGACTAAAAAAGCAACACTATGTTGGATTACAACTGTGTCATCTGGAAATAATTTGAGTACAGAATGCTGTACAGTTCTGGACAAAAGAGCAGCCAATGATTGTGAGTTAAATCTTCTAATTAAAAAAGATAGTGTAAAAGTATCGTTAGCTATGATTTGCTTTTCAAACCATTTTAATTTGATTAAGGATAACAATAGCAAAGATCTTGTACTCCTATGAATTTATTTAAAAAGTGGTTGTGCCAAATTTTCTTCATTACAACACAGCTAGTAAAATGCAGAGATCATGGGATCCAATTTTTGTTTATGAAGCAAATGTACATTTACTTCCTACTAATGTGTGTGCATGGTAACCAGCTTTATTGAGGATGAACTATAGCTATTATTATTGCAACCTTGAAACATGTTTAAATATCCTTTCATTTATGCAGTCTGAAATTGATTCAAAAGTAGTGCTTTAGAAACTGTACACGCACAACACCTTTCTGCTATTGACAAAAGCAGCCATGGTGTTTCTTTTTCAGATTTCCACAGAAGATGAAAAAAAATATACGGCTGTTGTACTTGCTCCAGATCATGTTTATAGCATAAGCAGTCTTAGTGTGCTGATGCCCATAGTTCCAAAGAAGATAGTGATCCACTCTATCTGGGGAAAAAATATCATTATTTTCTTAATAAGCATTTTGCCATCAACTATGTTGTGGTCAAGCCTTGGTTTACAAAGCTGCACAAAGTTATGTGTACATATGCCTAGGGAAAGGCACACTCCAATTTGTAATAGATTAGGTTCCATCTATGCATTATACAGATGGAAAGATATAGTAGAAGTCAATTCTGAAATAATTTAAGCAAACAAAATGTTGAAAAGTGCTGCTTAGTTCATTGAATGTAGCATTTCACAAATCAGCCACCAAATAATTTTTTCTCTCACTATGTCAGAACCAGCATTTCCCCACTGAACAGTGCAGCTATGGCTGAAAATCACCAAAAATTTACTGATCATGCAATGTAAGATCAGTCGATTTACACATTGGTAGAAACCATTATTCAAGAACTTAAAATTAATATTTCCACTGTTTCTATTTCCTGTCCTCAAAATCCAATTACTTCCAACTATCTTTCTTTAAAAAGTGGTACGTTTAAGTGATATCATTACCTAAAATGTGGAAATGTATATTACAGTGAACAATATATTATAATATTTTCCATGTATTACTATTAAAAAGCCCAAACTAGCTAGGGGGTAATAAAAACTACATTATTATAGAAAGATACAGTTAATCTGTATTTTTCATCTTCTGTTTGGAAAATCTGGTAAGAGAAGATTCATGACAAACAGCTATATGAAAAAGAATTAAGTGGTCACCATCCATTCAGTTCCTTTACATTATATCCTTAAACACTTCTTGGTTGAACATGAAAAGAAAGTCCTTAATTTCAGTTCATTTTTCATTTTAATCATAAAAAAATTGGCAACCCTGGTTAAATTATATTTTAATGAATCCTTAGTGAAGAGAACCTGACTCAAATCTCTGCAGGGTACAAAGTTATACATGAATAGGTCTGTAAATTTAAATGCACACGTATTATTTGTGTGTAGTTGATTACATAGAATAATAAAATGGTGAATACTGAAGGCAGAACTTTCAACTCCCCATCAACATAATCTAGAAGATAATGTCTAGTCATAAAAGAAACTGAAATTACTGAAATGCTAAGGAAATTTCTGAGCTACAAGAATTCTACAAGGAAGGTAATATAAGTTTGAAGGACACAAAGAGAAAAATTTGTAGTTGTCTACACTTGGAAATCATTTTCTTGTTGAAGAGGTGACTGACTGACTGACTAACTGATGAAAGAACATCCAAACTTCTGCACTTACCATAACCAATTTTCATTGTCTTTGAATTAGTAAACAGATGCATATATAGTAAGCATGCATTTAAATTTTCAGTAAAATGCTTACTTAACTTTGTATCCTGTAGAAATATCAACTTTTGTCCACATACCATGTTTCCCTGAAAATAAGACCCACCCAGAAAATAAATCCTAGCCTGATTTTTTAGGGTGGGACTAATATAAGCCCTACCCCAAAAATAAGCCTGGGGGATGAGTATGGCTACCACAGGAGGCACCAAGCAGGTGGGGCTGAAAGTGTCTGGCAGCAGCCGCTGCCCATGGGGCACAGGTAAGTCCAAGTGCAGAGGCAGAGGCAATTTGGATGCGTTGCATGGCTGCTTGGCTCACGAGAGGCTCATGAGGCAGCACCAGAAGGCGGAAACAGCAGGATGGGGGGAGGCAGATGATCCCGACATGTCACCCACTCTGTCCCTCCATCTGTTGGCTTGTCTGCGGCTGCACTGGGCAGATGGTTGTGTGGTGTGTCATCGCTTGTCTTTTCCCATTTGCCTCTGCCTTTGCCGCCCCACGCGCCTCCTGTGATCCAGACGGCTGCACAGGTTGTCCAGGTTTTCTGTTTCCCCCTGTACTTCTGCTTCCTCCTGCTGCTCACGCCGCCGCATGAGCCTCCCGCAAGCCAGACAGCCGAACTGTGTGTCTGGATCACCTGCTCCCCCCTGCCTCCATGCTTGGACTTACCTACGTTGTGAAAGGGGCTGGCAGGCTGGAGCTGGACACCATTGTGCATGCACCGGGGGGGGCGCCCGGCCGGGCTGATTTCTCTGATACTGTGTTTCCCTGAAAATAAGCCCTAATGCGTCTTTTGGTGCCAAAAAAAAAAAAAAAAGGCTGCATCTTATTTTCGGGGAAACATGGTAGTTATTAACCAAAACATGCAGTGTTGCCTAAGCTTTTGCATTCAATGTATACACACATTTAAGTGAAACTACATAATTTGAATAATTTATTTTTATACTTTGGACATTTGAAAATTACATCTGATTCATTCCTTCTGTAGATTTTAAATCATCCTTTTTTCCATCTGATGTATTCATTTTCAAACTAAGGGGCATTCCAAATTAATACGTTGGATTCAGTCTGGTTAGTACTCAGATGGAGTCCTTAAAGATTGGATTGGAGATTACAGCAGAAATAAAAAAGAAAACCCCATAAGGCAACAGCAAACCATTTCCATGCTGCTGCTAAGTAAGTTATATGGCTGCATTCCTGAAGTCATCTGGACTTGTGCTCAGCTTGAAGAACTTGGCTTTTTTAGATCAACTACAACCTTCGCAACGAATTGGCCATATGGATATTTCCCAACAGTTTTGGTTTGTAATATTTGCAAAGAAGTTATTTGAGTCCACTTTCCAAAGTTTTATACCCTTCACATTTAAAATACAAAAGCAGATTAAACAGTTTTATGATCTTTTTTAACTGGTATTTGACTTAACAATTTAAATGGCTTTTTGATTCAAGTTCTTACAAACACATACATGCAAACATACATACAACTCTAAATCTTTACAAAGTATTATTTATAAAATTAAATTTCCTTCTCTGTCTCCCTTCTACATATAAAATTACATGCAACTGCAGTTAAATCTTTATACAGATTAAGATATTAATCTTAAATTTTTACTGATTAAAAGTTTCTGAGGCCTAGAAAAGCAATATACAATGTCTATCTGTCTATAGCCATGGATACCATGTACATCTTCCAAGCATTCAGAAGAAAACTAAAGAAACTGGACATAGTTTTGCGGAATGAGTCCTCTCTTCCCATTTAGAGTTCCTTCTAACCAGCCAGGTTCTCGTGAAAGATGCACTGAACAACACAGAAAAAGAGAAGAAAAAAATGTATGTTATTTGGATTAATTCATAATTTATAAAACTTTTCTAGAATTGTTCAACCAACATTTCATATAAGCAAATTAAAATCAATCTTTTGAATCTCCATTTTCCAGGAACACTAATTAATCACAAAGGTATAGTGAGGGATAGAGACATATGGTTAAAATTCCATAGGAGGAGAATCATATAAGTCTTTGGTGACAAAAAATTAAGAGGAAGAAATTAATTTTTTCCAACTAACAGTTTATTTTATTAAAAGGCATATGCTTTTATAATATTCAGCTCATTTTATCAGATGCATACTGAACCTGAAGCAGATTCTCAGAACAAACATGGAAGAAGACAGCGCCACAATCCCAGACATCTATTTGTTACCTGGTCTACACCAGCAACCCCATCACCAAACTAATACGTGTGTAAGATTAAAGGAATCTACACATGCTCCTCATCTTATGTCAGTATTTCTCAACCTTGACAATTTTAAGGCATGTGGACTTCAACTCCCAGAATTCCACAGCCAGCAATGCTGGCTGTGGAATTCTGGGAGTTGAAGTCCACATGCCTTAAAATTGTCAAGGTTGAGAAACACTGTCTTATGTGATATATTCCATCATCTGCAATGTACCTTCTAGATTTTATGTAGAACAAACTGGACAAATTTTCTTCAAAGAATTAATGAACAGAAGTTTCACATCAGGACTCCAAATGGGGCCAAAGTAGTATCAGATACTGTTTTAGAAAAGCAGGATTAAGTCCATCCCTTAGCAAGAAACTGCTGAATTTACATATATCTAAAGTTTTTGGCAGTCTCAGAACATTTCAATAAACACAATGGGTTTTAAACACATTACAATTATTAATTTGTAATCTGTTTTACATGCCATAACCTCAATCTTTTTCCTCATCAGGGTTTTACCCCAATTTAAATCCTACATCTGTCTATCCAGTCATTCTGATGAAGTGAGCTACAACTCATGAAAGCTTATGCATTTTAATAAAATGTATTAGTCCAAAACAGTGATACCAGATTCTTTATAACTTTAAAACAACAGAAATATTCAGAATCGATAGTATTTTCTGATCTTACAGATCTAAATGATAAGATAAAAATGAGTGCGCCTGATAAAACACAATACTGTTGCAGCACAAAATATTTTAGAATACTTTGATTTTGGAGCACTTACACTATATTAGTTGAAAAATCTAATGATTGCAATTGGACAATTTTGCTTCTGAAGTATTCACTGCATGTCTGAGAGAGATTTGGAGCATGACTCAATTTTTCCAGTTATATTTAAGATATTAAAGCTAAGTTATTAAAAGACTTGAAAAAGGCAACAGTTCAAGCACTTTAAATACCCAGCAAAAATGAATTATAAATGAAATGTCTCACAGGAAGCTATTGAGCACTTTTTTCTTCCACTTTGCAAAGTGGAACAGATTCTCTTTTCAGAATAAAATATAACAAGAATAAGCTATAGTGGTATATAGTGGTAGCAGATTGACTTGTAGCTACTTAAAGAAAAGTAACTGATTTGTTTTGGGGCTCTCTTCTTTGATGTTATTTTCAAATGCTAATGCTGAATAAATAAAGAATAATTTTTCTTTAATATAATGACACATACATTATATCATATGTTTGAAAAATCATAAAATGAATCTTTACATGGAATGTATGTTAAAATAAATTAAAAATGCATCTGATGATGAGAGGTTTTGATTAAAACTAAAAAGACATAGAAATTGCACCAATTCTGAATAGTGGCGTTATCTAAATTCTGCCATTTTATTTGTTTCTTTGATCCCAAGTCCTGCCCTCAATCTAATCCTCCTGAACAATAATAACAGCTAACCAACTAAAAGACAATGAAGATACTATCCTGATTCCGGTCAAGATTTTCCCCTAAAAAATATGTTAAGGGAGGGAGAATAAATACGGGAGAAATTAAAAAGAGACTAATATATGAAGGAAAAAGTGGAGGGGAGAGAATTTTACTTTATGGATATGGTGGTTTATGTCAGTCACTAATTTAATGGTTATATCAAGTGGCTGTTATTGACAGTATGTCAATTTAATGGATGCAGTGTCACTTCGATATTTTAAGTTATTGGTAGAGCAATAGAAAAGATGCAACATTCTCTCAATTCTTCATTTAAAGGCTTATTAAAACATATGGAAGCTTAGTGATACATATTAACTGGTTTTGTGGTATCTGAATGAATTCTAAGTACATGGGCAGAGAGGCATCAGGAAAAGACGCAGTCCTTTTCTCAAGGACTGTTGAAGGACAAATAGAAATGTTTTTACAGATTTGGTAAATATCACAGCTTAATTAACAATTCTCTTTGATAGTAAAATATTCTACTTACTACACTTGAAATCATTAAAAACATATTCATTTCTGGAGCCATTTTATTTTTATTCCTGCCACTAAGGAATTTTTTGTCAGTAGAGGCAAAGATGTATCTTGGCTTCACTAGTATTCAGGCTATGTCTGAGTCCTCTTGTGGCCAAGATAAATAATCTAGCTAATCGTCCTCCAAAACTGAGTGATATAAACACTGCAGTTCTCCTATATGCAAATGATGCAGTGCTGTTATCTCAGACACAAAATGATCTAAAGCTTTACGTGCTTAGCTGCACATTATAGTGCATAAGCATTTAAACATCATTATGCAAAAAACTCAGATATCGTGTAATTTCCCCTCAGGAAAGTTATTGGAAGGACATTAAATTTGGATACTGTGATTTGACTTAGATTTGATAGCTTGAACCTAAGATTTGCTAGTATGTTCTAATCTAAGCACTCTAAAATACTTGCTTGGTAACACATTTTTACTGATAGTATGTCATGCTATCAATAAATGCAGGGCACATGTGGATTATGTCTTCCAAAATGCAGACAAGTCTTGCATTATACAAGCAATGCAATATTCATATCTAGTGTTCTAGTGGTGAAAAGTATTTTCAGCCAATGTGCAGGCCCAGCTTTTGTTAAGAACCTAACTGGGACCATATGGCTTCTCCACTCTTTTAAAGGGTGCAATCTAAATTCTTAAATAACAAATTTCAAGTCCCAAAATGTGCTCCAAATGTGGCTTTGTTCATGAGGCTGGTGGGATCAACACTGAAACTTATATTTGGATATTTGTCCTCTGTTATTTGTTAAGTCGATTTCTTTACTCATGAGCTTGCTACTTCTGACTTTAAATGTTGACTTTATTTAATCCTGGGGTAGAACACTGCGTGAGAAATTGAAGTGCTATGCTCTTTCACTTAATGCAATCTTGAAGATGGTATACGAGCACTTAGGGGCAGCTTTTAAACAACATGTCCAGGATTAGGAAGCCCAATCAGACCTCACTGCCATACCCAAAGATGTGTTCTTAGATAGTCATTCACCTTTTTTCAAGATGCCAAATCACATAATCCAAGTTCAAAGAGCTGAACTTAGGCAAAGTTAACGTTCTCCCAACAGCTATTCCTGGGGGAAATTGCAGGGTATCCCATCTGAACAAAGACTTTGCCCCTGTGGTGAAGGAACTCCTGACTCCTGTTTTGCCGTAATGCTTCCATTATGAAGATGCCCAACTGCAGATACTAACTCTCCATCTGGTTAGCTATCCAGATTACCAGATCTTTCTTATATATAACCCTTACTATCCAATTAATATGATTTTATTGCTACAAATGTGGGTATATTTTTTTACATTGACAAAATGTTTTTGTCCACACTAGTTTAATTATTGGGTTTTACTTTGGTTTTTACTTACTGTTTTGGAAACTGTGTTTTTTAATAATAATAATAATAGTAAAGTTGGAAGGGACCTTGGAGGTCATCTAGTCCAACCCCCTGCTCAGGCAGGAAACCCTACACCATTTCGGACAAATGGCTGTCCAGTCTCTTCTTAAAAACTTCCAGTGTTGGAGCATTTACTGCTTCTGGAGGCAGGTTGTTCCACTGATTAATTGTTCTCACTGTCAGGAAGTTTCTCCGTAGTTCTAGGTTGCTTTTCTCCTTGATTAGTTTCCACCCATTGCTTCTTGTCCTGCCTTCAGGTGCTTTTTGTTTGTTTTTGGCTGACCAATAACTAATAAAGTTTATTTGTTAACTTCACCCATTAAGACTGTAATATCCACAACTTCACAGATAGGAATAAAACTGTGGACTCCTATGAGCAACAGTTGTCTAAAACATTAAGGGCTTGGTTTTAAAAGTATTTCTCGTCTCAAAAAGGATGCAGTAGTTCTTTAAAAATACTTTAAAAGTCAATGTTTTATCTTGCCCTTCCGGTTTGATTCCTTTCATAGTATGAAGAAAATGTCCGAAGATTCAGACCAGGTAAGAGAAACTATAGCATGTTCTTCTTGGTTTTTCCTTCACAATATATATAAAAAAGCCATTCTATTGACATTCCACACAATTTATACTGAATGAGAATTACTGAAAGGATCTTTTCCATAACTGATTCAATTCTGTTCAGGGGAAAAATAACTTAGAATAACATACATGTAGATACAATGATTTGTATAATAAATACCGATCACCAAGAGAAAGTAGTAAAATTTTAATAACCAAGCTTTCATTGGGATCATCCAACATCGTCAGGGTTTAAACGCAGACGTTAATGAGAAGCCTTTTATAGGATATTGACAGCCTTCATCCAGCTTCTGGAACGTGTCACCGGACCCAGCTGTTCGTGCAGAGCCTTGAATAACTCGCATGCGTCAATGCGTAGTACTTCCCCATGCGAGTTATTCAAGGCTCCGCACGAACAGCTGGGTCCAGTGACACGTTCCAGAAGCCGGATGAAGGCTGTCAATATCCTATAAACGTCTTCTCACTAACATCTGCTTTTAAACCCTGACGATGTTGGGTGGTCCCAATGAAAGCTTGGTTATTAAAATTTTACTACTTTCTCTTGGTGATCGGTATTTATTATGGATAATATACCCAAGAGTCGAATTTTTAGCTGTATAGTTAATCAATGATTTGTATCTACAGATTTGTGAAGGAGAAAGAATAAGTCTTGTAATTGTGCTATTTTAATTAATCATTGTGCATTCACATATTTTTCTGCCCAGAGTCTTTATTCAGAACCTTCTGGAAGTGATATTTTGGTAAAAAAAAAAATATCACATGTAGATATACAAAGTGTCATCCCACGTTCATCTCATTTGCTTGAGTACTGAAGCAACATGAAATCGAAGTATCTATTAGCATAAACACTTGCAAATGGTAAACTTAGGTAGGCTATATGCATGCATGGCTAAAAGAAGAACACCAGTTAAAAAATATATTTGGATGACAGTAAACTCTCTGGTCAGCACAAGGTGTTCATATTACACAAGAACAGAAGAAAGAGCAGCATACTTAAGACAGAGTGATTGTCTGAACTGACTCTGTGGTATCAATAAAAAAATACTAGAAACAAACTGTTGCTTTTATAAAGTGTCCTTTTATACTCACAGAAGCATGTTTGTCTTATCACCTAAAACACAATAGATTTTATCCATTTAGAGAAATGCTTTGATTATATTGTGTTTCCGTGATACTGGTAAGCAAACCCAAATATTGTCAGAAAAAAGCAAGCCCATCAGTATAAAAGGCAACAGGCACCCCTAACAAATAAAACACTTTTTCAAGATTAGATGACAAAGAAGTCTTGAAGATGGAAAGATATATCAAAGATGCAACCTTCAAAGAGGATTTACCCCCGATATATTTAACTGGATATAAAGTACCATGATGTCTCTGTAGAACTGAAAATAAGCAGATCAATTTGAAGCAAAGCTGTCCAATCCTCTCACAATTGAGACAAGAAAGGTGACCTTATTGAAGCCAAAGAGTGAATGGTTTGAATAATATATTCAACAGAAAAAAATAAATACTCCATGTTGGGGCTGATAAAGTGATAGATTAGCATATATTATACTGTCCCTTGAAAAATAGAATGTCTTGAAAAATGTTACACTGTTAAGGAGAGGTAAAAGCTTTGAGATTTAAGGGAAAAACAGAACCAGAAAACAATATGCATTAGTAGGTAAAAATACGCATGGCATGGATCCAGGCTATCTGAAGAGCCGACTCACTTCAGTGTGATTGGCTGTGACACTCGCTTCAGTGAAAGAATCCCACTCCGAATCCTGTCTGCCAATGAACTTTGTTTGGAGGGGTCCAGGAGAAGAGCACTCTGGAATATTCTCCTGCTGGGAGTTGAGATTGGCCTCTACACTGCTGGCCTTCCAGAGCAGCTTTAAAATCTGGCTCTGCCTATTGACCTGGGGCTCTGACACAGGCGCTCTGTACCGGGACTGGTTGACAGGGTAAAGAAAAGATCCCCATTTCCCCCCCCCCCCATCATCTGTCCTCTTGGTTTTTAGCTTATTATTTAATCTTAATTTTTGTACTTTTTAAACTTTTTTATCACTTTGTTTCAGGTCCCCAAAGAAATGAACCGTATGCCTACTTTCCCTTTTTCTGTAGCCTTTCTTTGTGGCCTGCCATTCTGTTGGGAAGGGGGAGCTTTTGAGATTGCTTTGCACTGTCTGCAGAATGGAATGTCTCTCCCTTATCTAAGGGACAGTTTGCACTTGGAGCCAGGAGAAATTGAAAGTGAGAAAGACCTTGAAAAGCCCGCTGAAAAGACCAGTTTTTGAAAAGACCAGTTACCAAAACATGATGCCACCTGTGAAATGGCTGGGATTCAAACGAACACTGAGATTCTGCGGGGAGGAGTATTGAATGTTGCTTTTAATATATTGCTTCGCGGGTTTTTCTCTCAGATTCTGCCTTGATCCCCTACTGCAACTAGCCGCTAATAAACGTTCCTTTTGAAACAATGCATGTTTCAAGAGTTCTGCTTTCTTGGGAAGCTTAGCTGAGGTAGGTCCTTACACTTTGTAAGCCATCCAGAGTCAGTGCAACAGTGAGATGTATGGAATATAAATTTAATAAATAATAAATAAGTAGGTAAAGTTTTCAAAATTGTCTCAAAACATAGGAAAGAAGCTATTTCCTACTTTTGGCTTTCCAAGAAGTTGAGCAAGATAAGGCTGCAGTGATACAATCTATCTCTGTCTTAAGTAATTGCCAGACAAAAACCAAGCCATGTGGACAAGGGATAAATTAAACCATTGTATTAAAAGAAATCCTGATGCCAAGCATGTGCTAAATCTTACCAAGCTGACTCTCAAAAGGCTCAAAAAATAGTCTTTGGAAATCTGTGAAGCACAAGCTTTCTTTTATTCAGCAATGTAGTTTTGGTAATAGAGGGAAACATAACATAGCTTATCCTATGCTATTAAGGTCTTGCATAAAAACTTCACGTGACATTTGGAAAGTCTCTTTGCTTCTGAATCTCATTTGTGACAGTCATCTATTCCTGAAGGCATCGCTGAAGTAGCTTGAATCCAAAGGCTGAAGGATTTTGGTATAATTTTAATGATGTGGAAACAATCACAAGGATGCAAACTCCCTTTTTCCAAATGGAGAATTTAAATAGAGCCTTAAATGCATTTCCCTTTCTTCTTTTGAGGAAGAGACATGAGGTCTGACATGCCTGAAAGCATTCTGTTAAATTCCTGCTTTGTGAACCACATGTTTCAACAACAATTTTGTACATAGATTTGACTACAGGAGTTTCAACTCACATGCCAAGAAACCACACCTTTAAACTAAACTTGCTTTTAAGAGAAGTCTTTGAAGCAATTAAATAAACATTTAATTCCTCTTTTATTACTTTTGATTCAGACGCAATCTGTCTATAAGGTAATTTTTGACAAGATACAACTATAACATCCCAGTTTTCTTAATGGTAAACAGACTAAGAACAAAAGAGAACAGAAGAAGGAATAATAATAATAGAAAAACCTATTTTTTAATCTACTGTAAGCAAAAATAATACAGTGTGTGGCAAAATGACTAAATGAACTCCACTTATTTCAAGCACAGGGTAGATGTATATTTCTGTTTTATATATGCTTGTTTTTTTCTCTGCTCCCTTTTCTCTGTTCATGCAGAAAAAACAGATCATTTCCAAGTTTTTAAATCCGCCTTAACTTGTTTAAAAAAATGTAAATACTTTGCCAAGTCTTAAGATGATGAAAAAATTAAGTTCATGAGAAACTTTTCTTATTTCTATTTTTGAGGTAAAAGAATAATGCCCAGTAGGAAGTCAGGGACCATATTTGGAGATAAAAGGAGAGACTGACTCAAAACAATTTCCTAGGAGATAAATGATAGTAGATACTTTTTAAAATGGCCAATGTTACAGAAAATCTGAGACCACCAGAAGAAAAACAAAACTAGCCTCATGTTTCCATCATTTCCCTAGCCAAAACCATCATATCATCATGGGACTTCATCTAACTCAGCATACAGCAACCCATGAACTCAGTAAGGAATGGGAAAAGCTATTACCTCAGAATAGGCATCCACTTGGAGCACAAAGCGATTTTGAGATAATACTTTGGGCACTGACATAATGTAACAAATGTTAGGAGAGTATGGTTAGTCACAAAATATTATTTACCAGAAAGCACAACCGATAAGTTCCCAGAAGTTTTCTTCCCTTCATGCTTGCTACTACCCTGCCTTTTTTCTCATTAAAAAGTTATCAATGTGCTATAGCTTGCATTCAGGAATTTACTTTTTTAAAAAAAGAGGCATGTGAACAGTTGTGTAATTCACTACTGTTTCTGCTGCTATCCACCAGTTAACAACTGCCAAAAAGGGAGATAAATCTACAGATATAGAAGTGTTAGCTTTCTCGTGTATTTGAGCCAACTGCTATCTTTTCTGGCAGAGGACAAGTATAAAGAAGGCCTGCAACTTCTTTGAAAAAATGTATCAAAATATATAATTGCCCTCTGTCACAGAAGCACCTTCTTCAGTTGCTAGCTGAATGATGTAAGTTGCAAATGCTGCCTTTAAGACAGTGATGGCGAACCTTTTAGAGACCGAGTGCCCAAACTGCAACCCAAAACCCACTTATTTATCGCAAAGTGCCAGGACTGCATCAGCATTGTGGTGCCCTCAGGGGGGGCATTGGGTGGGCGTGGCTGCAGTAGTCACGGCAGACTGGGTGAGGTGGCATCCCCGTGGTGCCAATGCTGCTTGCTCGCTCACTTCCTGCCCTGTCGCTTCCAAATGCCATGTGCTCGCTACTCTGGCGAACTCTGCTGGGGCAACGGTGTGCATGCCCACAGAGAGGGCTCTGGGTGCCGCCTCTGGCACACATGCCATAGGTTCGTCACCACTGCTTTAAGACAATAGATGAACATCAGAATTAAAAGAAGAATTGCTGCTTGTGGTTAGTAGATCAATTCATCCTGGATGTTGTCTTCTCCTGTGAAATGCTTTGCATTCTTGCAACTTCCAAAATAAAAATCTTGTATGACACATCCTTATTGCTTCTGGGATAAGTGCTAAGTCAGCTCAGGACTTAGAATCATAAGCTGACTTTAAACTTAGATGAAATGCTATTTTATTTTAATTGATTTATTGATTTAAAAGATTTCTACAGCTGCCAATCTCTTTCTCTGTCTCTCTCTTTCTCTCATACATGCACACAAATACACACACATATAAAAATAAACAAGATAAACAAGTTATAGTAAATCCTGTAAAACAACCAACAAGTCACAAGTGTAACACATTCAGATGGGGGACACCAGTTATTTCATACCTTACAGGATATCAACATCCTGGATCCACTGTCTGAAGGGCCATTTAGGTTTTCAAGGCCTTCCTAAAGACTAACAAGGTCAAAACTAGTCAATCTCAGGGGAAAGACTGTTCCACAGTATAGGTACCATAATGGAGGAGGCATTCCTGTGGGTTCCATCAGATTATACTGTTTCAAGAAGGGAACCTGGATCATGTCTCCTCTATTAGTGTGTGGGACATGGCAAGAAATAACTGGAGACAGCCCCACAAATGTTATTGAAATGATGGTTAAACCAACTAACTAACCATATCTTGGAATCCAAAACTCTTGATAGTGAAACTAGATCAAAAAACAAGTACACTGTGCTTTCTTTAGCACTTATAGCCCTGTACAAGCATTCTTCGACAGTATATATACATCATAATAGACTTTCTGTATTTGTGAAAGGAAACCAAATCTTTACCCCAACAAAGCTACAGCAGCTATATAAATTATATTACTTTAGATTGACCTAAAGCTCTTTTATATTACTATCATCAACCCACTCCTTGTCTATGGAGATTCTCAGTGTCTATTTTAGTACTCAAAGAGGGCTAATGACTAGATGCCTATAAGGAACATATATCCTTCCATTCTCCACCATTCAGCCAGAACTGAAGAAGCTTCTTGGATGAGAAGTGAAACATCTTCAAGGAAAAACAAAAAAGTCCATTTGGCTTTTGAAAAAGCACCTTTGGGACAATCTACTCCTTCTTGCTTAATATTGTGCAATAATCAATATATTCCTTTTCATAGTGCCAGAAAACCACTTTACAGTTAATACCTGCTTTCTTGTTTTGAGTAGGATTAACAAAGGAAAACAATTATTTTGAAAAGTGGTCAGAGTTGAAAAGAGTATCCTGTTTTGGTGCCATACTCAAATTCAAGATCTTCCTTTCATTCTATAAAAGAGTGGGGCATAAGTCAATGTTGTATAAAAAGAATCCTAAGTGAACATGTATTTATCACAACAAGAGGTAACTTGGAATTGATAGGAAATATTAGAACTATAAGACTGTCAATGAGCAAATGTAGAAGTGACTTTGGAAACTGGGAAGAGAGTAATTAACCATTAAGGGAAAAGAAATAGCAACTCAACTCTGAAAACGTGGAAAGTATGAGAAAGAAACTCCAAATAATTCCTAGATTTATTTGATTTCAAATAAACTCCTTGATTTAGTTCAGAATAATATGGCTTTCCATTTTCCATTACTCTATCTTACAATATAATGAGCATTCCTGAAATCCAAGAATTCTGTTTCTTGACCTCATCCCCATCAAAGGGCCAACAGAGATTTTCTTTGATCTGGTTTCTAACATTCAACATGACTACATTCGTACCCTGAATTTCTCCATTATAGTCTATGTAATATGAGCTCAGCAGCAACGAGCCCAAACTTTCCAAACCTAGTTCTTACTCAGTTCTGACATATTATTAAAAGTATAAGAAGTAGTTCTTTTTATTGAATGAATATTGATCTTTTTAATGTGCTATTGCTTGTTCAAATATGTAGTTCATTTCTACCAAGTTTCACTAAGCCTTCCCCAAACTCCTATCCTACAGATTTGCTGCTTCAGAAGCTCTCAGAATTTCCATTTTAGTGTGTCTATTGATTGGAAATCTAGGGATCAAGAAGGCTAGATTAGGAAAATCTGCAGTAGGTTGAAAGGAAATGTAAATAGAAAAACTGCATCTTTACACTGTATTTCTACAGTGTAGTACAGAGTAAGAGGTAAAACCATGGCTAATATGGATCTCCAATTAAATTCTTTGTATCTCTCAGTTCTACTTTGATCCATAAGTTGTATAAAATATTCCTTGTGTTCCATTAAATGTTCAAATAAGATTAAACCCAAACTATGCACAGATTGTCTTAATGCGATTTTTTTTCCAGCTTCATCAGACATTGGCTCAGGAAAACATATGCTTACAATGGATGCTGCATGTATTGTTCCAGACACCATTTAGGGAGACTATATGATATTACATGTCAGCTTTCTAAAAGATAGGCTTATTTGTAGGATTATAAAAGTGATAACTACTTACCATCTTCAAAAACTGCCCCAGTTTGAAAAGACAGTTCAGAACTATGCTCTGCTTCACATGGATATACTGCCCTGGCTTTTCTATTGACAATATTGAAAAAAAGGTTGCACAATTATTTACAGGTCCTCAATTTTATATGACAATAAAAGGAAATATTGATTTTAGTCATATAAGAAAAGTTTCAATGTCTCTGTGTATTTATGTAGAAAAACAATAATCAGCAGTTAATGCAGAAGATACAAGATTAGACCAAGAAGAAATCTATGGTTCACAGACTTCATCTACCTATGAATGCATTTCTTGCTCTGCTGAAATTAGCAGTGCATTTTCTGTCTGATAATCAATAGTCATGTTTGTTTCAAGTGCCATTTGAATCATGGAATGCTGCTGTCTCAATTGATGGTAGTGTTAAAATTTTTATTCAGAAGAGGATTAATGTTTTGGGAGGCTTCACTCATGGTATGCATATTTTTCACCATTATTCATTCATGGATTTGCCCATAATTAGCTTTTCCTGAAGCAATTACAAAGTAGCAGGAGCCTGTTTACTGAAGATCACTAAAATTATTTTTACATTTTAGTTGGCATAGTTGTTTTGGCATTTTTTATAACATTGGTAGCTAAAAAACAAAATGGCACTAAAGACTGATTAGGATATACTCATGGTATTTTGGCTGTTAAACATGAAGAAACTGAAAATCATTGTAATAATTTTGTCTTAAAATTATAACTGTCATATTTATATGAATACGAAAAAATCCTAGTACTTGCAAAAGGAAAGTTTAAATATATGAAGTCAGTACAGGTGGTGTTCACTTAACAACCACTGTTCCAACTCGCAACAGCATTAAGGTTCCAGCTGGTGCAGTATTCCGAGGGTCATGTGATCACAATCTGGGCACCCACCTCTTGATTACAACATTGCAATATCCTATGGTCATGAAATCATTATTTGCAACCTTCCCAGACAGCCACCCACAAACAAAGTCAATGGGGAAGCTGGCTTGAAGTCAGAAGTTGTATTCACTTAATGATCTGTGCAGTCCTTGCTTAATAATGGTAACTGAGGACTGCCATAACTGCTGTCACTAAGCAGCATGGTCATATGATACCTCAGTTTGCAATCCCATCACTTAGTATTGGAAATTCCAGTCCTAATTACCATCATTAAATGAAAACTGAAGCTCACTAATGAAGGAATAATGAAGACGTCTCATGTTATATTATTCAATTATCTCAAAATCAAATATCTTTCATTCCAACTATGGAATTTGAAATGCAGCATTTTTAATTCCTTAGCAATATTTGGTAACATTTATTTGATGTCATTGTCTTTCCTGGATAAAAAAAATAGCTACGTGAGGCTTCCTTATTTTATCTATAAGAAAGAACAATTTCTTTTCCAAGGATTGTAAAATATTCCATTATCTTAATTTCCCATACTCAAATGAGACTGGAATACAATTCAGTATTCTCACCCTCCTAGCTCAGTCCTGCATACTATGGAGCCTGACTTCATATTTTTTTTACTAAGATATGACTGATCAGAGAGCTTTTCAATGGACTGGCTGGGAAATTACAAGTGAATTATAGTCTTAAATATATTACTGTATCCTGAGAGACAGAGAAAATTTCATTTAATGTGACCAGAATTGAACTTTGTCCTTAATGTCTATGCCTTCCTCCCCCTAGTTTGAATATTCTGCTTTGTATCATGAATGGGAACATATTATGACAGTAAACAATTTAACTATAAAAGAACAATTATGTCTACGCTAATTGTTATAATAGAAAAGAACAATCCTGTTTCTGTTATGTAATAAGAGATAAATTACAATGAAAATAAATTAATATTCCAATATTACCTTCCAACTGGTCTGTCAGTTTCTGTAGTAGAGGACGGAAATAAAAATGATAGGTTTGTTGTGACTGGACTTTGTGCTGTAGTTGATTTTAGATTTATCCAGGAAACCATTGATGAATGAACCTCACTGGATCTGAAATAATTTTATGAGAATAATCAGTAATTTTAATCCAATCCCAAGTTAGTTCTGAGATCTATAAAATCAATGAAATTATTGACCGGTCATTATAATATGTCTTCTTAAACATACATCAAACATCTTTTAGCTTTGGTTTCTCTTTTGCTTTAGGAAAAAATCAACCTTGTTAGGCTAGTGAGAAAAGTATGCTTCCAGGTAAATATGAGAAGTTCAGGGAAAAGTCAAGATGGCAAGCTGTGCACTCAGCTTTTTATTTTATTTAATTATTTTTATTCTTTTTTATTTTTATTTTATTTCTTATGAAATATACACAGTTAACAATAAGATAGAGAAAAACCTTTTTCGAAAAAAAAAAGAAAACATAGAATTTTTTTGTGAACAGTCTGCTCTCAAATGTTTATTAGAAAAAACACCCCCTACCCTTTTAAAATAGAAGATTGAGATATAGCAATAAAAAAGTAGATTAAGTTTCTGTATTTGGCTTATGAAATGGTAATTCATGAAAGATAACTATTACAGTTAGATAAATATTGAATAGCAATATGGTAGCTTGTATGAAAAAATAGTAATTAAGGATGAATGTGAAAAACTATTAAAGAAGAAAGATTATTTGCTGGTCATTTTTTTGACAAGGAGAAATTATTGTAAGGTATAATTCCATTTCTAGAAGGACAACTTGGAAATTTGACAATTAGACATCTTAACTGATATTCAGGAACTAAATACTAGAAAAGAAAGTTTATTGGATATTATTTGACTTGTTGCCAAGGTAACACTGCTAAACAGAATTCCTTTATCTCAGGAATCAGTGAGCAAGGAAAGTAGAAGACAAAGGCCAAGGAAAGAATTTACACCAACTTTTGTGCAAGTCCATTTTGTTCCATAGAATAGCATAACCTTTCTTTATTTACAAGAAATATACAATTCCACACTTCTATTAAAACTGAATAAAGGAACAAAGATGCAAATGTTTCTTGCATGTAAAGTTATTTTTCATTGAATGGGAGCATATGCTGTTAAATAAAAACAGAAACAGGAAGATAATAAATTTTCTGGGAAGACTTTAATCAATATTACTTAGGTAATAATTGGATTATATATATTTTAAGGGATGTGGCTATTTATTTTGATTCCAAGAGGAAATGAAGACAGATAAGGTCCATTACATACAAGAATAAAAATATTCACATATCTACAGCATGATCAGTCTACACTGCAATAGCATGTTGTTGATAACTTCTAGATATATTAACATAACAATATTTCATGCCTGTTTCTTAATATATTTAAGCATAGTGTTGGCTGGGTGGATGGACAGATTACAGACAGACAGAAGGGCAGATAAACAGACACCAACTAGCCCAAAAATAGTATAGATGATAAAACATTATAAGACCAAGAAATAATAAAAATAAGTCTAAAATTAATATAAAGTTGATGTATATTATTATTGGGTATTCTTTCTAAGAAGTCTGAAAAAGTTAAGCATTTAAATTTTGTTAGAAAAATAAAAATATAATTATTTATTCTCCTAGTTATGCATTTATTTATCATAACAAACTACTGATTACTGATTTTTCAAATCTTCATATCTTATTTCAACTTAATCAGGGAAAGAGCATATATCAAGAAGTAAAAAAACTGCTCTTCAGTAATGAAAAAAAAAGACAGGAAAATACTTTAGGCATACTTCAAAGGGCAAGGATGGGGTTTTAAAGCATGTACTTTTAACAATAATACATAGTTTTTATAACTTTTACAAAAAAAATTTTTTTTATTAATTATTGCCAACTATTGGGGGTAGTGCTCATCTCCACTTCAAGGCCATTGAGCCAGTACTGTCCGAAGACATGATGTTACAGAACACTATTACCTTCCCACCAAAACAGTAGCTAAAACTAGCTTCAGCACAATAATTATTAACTAACATTAATAAAAATAAAAAAGGAAAAACAGAGCCATTAATGATAATATAATAATATTTTTTTTAAAAAAATGTTTTTTCGCCTCCGGTAAGACAGAAGTGCTGATGGTAAAGAAGAAACTGGAACAGAGGGACTGAGGTTCAGCCTCATTTTGAAAGGGTTGTACACTGCTGGAAACAGCAGGGTCACAGTCTGGGAATTTGACTTCATTTCAGTGGTCACTGGATTCAAGGTGTCAGCTGGGCGCCTCTGCAAATTCTTTTTGAGCTAGTAGCTTAACTTTATTAATGCTTAGTCATGCTAACATCCTTTTTTGATTACCGTGATAGATCCTACAAGGGACTAGGCTTGAAAAGTATATAAAAGTTATAATTAGTGTAAAATGTGAAAATAAGGTTGTGATCTAATATAACAATCCTAGGATGACTATATAGATCTGCACCATCGACTAAAATTTTAAGAGCTGGTATTGATCTTTAAAGTGCTACCAGGTTTAGAACATGCCAAATGAAAGAACTCCCTCTCCTTTTAGAAGCCTGAACCATTTTAAATTTTCCAAAAAGTGCCCCGTTGAATGTGCCCCTCCTGCAAGACCATCATTTGTCCACCATGTTGGAGACAGACCAATTCTGTTCTTTCAAGATAGGGCATGGATTCTCTGCAATATAAAGACTCTGTAAACATGTATCTCTTCTATCAAATATAGATTTCTACAAATTTTACAGCTAATTTATTATTTTTTTCAAACTATTCTGTTTTTATTGATATATGTTTTTAAAAAACTTAATATATTCCTCAAATTTCATCAACACTGAGCTGAGTTACATAACCCTTCAACTCTGTGGTAATGACACCCTAAAGAATATTATATATTGTAGCACCTTTGCATGCTTTGTAGTACACAGATCCCCTTTCCATTCAAGTGCAGGAAACGTGAATTAAGCCACACTGGTACAGATCATTGATTTTTTAATCACTTTATTTTTTTCTAACATTATTTGATATTTGGTGTCATTAATTTGGTGCATTAACTTATACTTTCAAATTTTAATCATAATATCTTCCCATTTTTATCATGTTGAAATTCAAACATTAACAATATACTGAAATTTGAATTAATATTATTGAAGTTCAAGTGTCCAAAATATTTAATATACTGAGTATTATATTTGTTGAATAATATACTGAGTATTATTGAATAAAATATTTACATGTTTTAATTAAGATCTCATAATGTACTGCATCAAATATATGCAATTTCACTTCTGTCTTATTTGAATGATATGAACGCATGTCAACTGAAATCTGTATATGGTATGAGAGAAAAAGTTATATAGGAAATTTGTCAAGTATGAATTACACTGACTATAGACATGGCAGAAGGAGGAGAATGCTTTTAGAAGGCCTAAAAGCATAATCAGATGAGATCTTTATCATAATTGTAATGTAAAATTTTAATAACCAACCAGCTTAGGCAGGCTTTCTTCTGGGTGTTCTGAATGGCAGTAAAAGGTTCACTCCTTTTCAAAGTGAATTGTACTTTTCATGTAAATCTTAACCCAGAATAGAATCTTACCCTGGGCTGCACTATGAAAAAAATCTATGCAACTGCACAGCCTTCAATATTCCACTGGCTGTCACTGTGATTCCCATTTTTCTTTTTCAAATGATTGCACACACAAGTAAATTTTTAGACTAAATATTCTGGGTGTGGGAAGAAAAAAAACACTGCTCTGCAGGCAATGCTTTTCTTCCTAAAAGTTTCATGTTAATCACAAAAATGCATTGTGCTTCTCTGTACTTTGTACAATATGAACACCATGACAAAATTCTTACATACAAATTATTTATAATCAAAATGTTAATGGGACAAAAATTCCTGTGAAAACCTATGAATTAATTAGGGATCAGGTTGAAATATTGAAAGGAATATAAATCCGGGGGATTACATGGCTATATCCAAATTGCTTTCTTGGCAACAATATGGAAGTGATTATCTTAACCTTTTTTGGGGGGTGGAAGAGAGAACTTTACAGAGTCCATAACTCTGGTCTATTCTACATGAATTTAACAGGAATAATCCTGTTTAGGTTTTCCAAAACCAGCAAGTCCATCTAGCTGCTGTCTCCTGCTGTGATAATTAGGAATAAAACACTTATGGTATTAAATATCTTGCTGAATAACAGGGGGATTGGACTGAGCAGACGCACAGAACACTTATTTCTTCTGTGGTCTGCTAAAGAGAGGAGGAATTATGAAGTAAAACATCTAACTTTAAGGGATTCCCCTCTATGTAATAAAGATACACTACAATTCTCTAAAATAGCACAATGTAATTTCAGCTACTGTTATTACTTATATGTTTAAAATGTATGTAATGAGTCCCCTTTTTTTAACTGAATTAAAAGTTTTAAAAGAATTTGCAATATCATTTTTTAATAGTTAAATCCAAAAAATAAGCTAAACTCTGTTCTATTAGAGGATCCATTTAAAAAGGAGCTAACAAAATTGCTTTCCACATTTCTGCTACTTACAAAAAACTTTAAGACAACAAGAAATCTGTACTTTACAAGTTTTTTTGTATACCATTTAAGTTTTCAAACAAAAAGTGTTACTTACAGATTGCCACTGTCAGTTATAAGATTATTTTTCTCTGTGTCTTGAGGGCTGGTAGGAGCAGCAGTTGTGGGAGACTGAGAAGACAGGGAATCCATGCTATCTGAGCGTGTGCATTTTTTGGCAGGGCTAAGGTGGTCACCTGAAAAATAAATATTTTTTATCTGCTTTCATTTTTAAAAATGTAGCATAGTTATATTTGCTCTGAAATCTGACTTCTGTGAAAAATGCTTTAAGGGTTCCAGCCATTTGCACTATATGAACGTACAAGTCATTTAAGACTTGCATACAGGCAATCCTGGACTTATGACTACAGTTGAGCCCCAAATTTCCATTGCTAAGCAAGACAGTTGTTAAATAAGATTTGCCCCAGAGATTTGCCCGTAGTTGATAATTGAATCACTGCAGTGGTTAAGTTAGTAATCTGATTGTTAACTGAATCTGGCTTCTCCATTGACTTTGCTTGTCGGGGGGTCACAAAAAGTAATCACATGACCCCAGGACACCGCAATCATCATAAATACATGACAGTTGCCAAGCATCCAAATTTTGATCATACTGAGGATGCTTCAATGGTTTTAAGTATGAAAAATAGCCACAAGTCATTATTTCAGTACTGTTATAACTTTGGTCACAAAATGAATGGCTTTAAGCTGATGGCTGCATTTAAAGAATGAATGGAACTGCTGCACACTGGAAGTGAAAAATAATTTCAGGCTTAGCAACTTGCATTTACTTGATTATTTTCGTCTTGACAATTATCAGTAGAATGTACAAATTGGCTGCATTAAATTAATTCAAGTTGAAACAATGTTCGGATATACCAATGGGTAATCAAAACATCAATTCTGTAACAAAATCTTTTCAGATATCTTGCAAAAGTCTTTTTGGCAATTTTTAAGGAAATCATTCTTTTAACATTTAAAAGAAAGCACACAGCATTTTAAAATTTTATCTGAAGCTTATCTTTCTAATGTTTTTATTTAGATAAATGTAATAACAAAGCATACATAATTCAATGAGATACATAAACTGAAACTTATTAAGATGCAGTGATTGAGGATATGAAGAGCTTTGTGAACTAGAAGCTTATCATCTTTTCTGGATGGGGCGATACCACCCCAGACAAACCCAATGCACAACTCCAGGATTCTCCTAGACTTGTGACTCCTGTTCAAAGAGCAGGTGGCATTCGTGGCTAAGAGAGCCTTTGCACAGCTTCCTGTGGTATGGCAACTGAATCCTCTTCTGAATTGTGGAGTCCTGCTTCAGTCATTCATGCATTTGTCATCTCCTGCCTGAATTATTGCAAAATGTTCTACAAGAGGTTGTCCTTGAATAGTATTTGGAAGCTACAATTGGTTCAAAATGCAATAGTGTGGACAGTTTTGGAGGCCCTTAACATCACAGTTATGCAAGTTGCACTGGTTGTTATCTGCTTCTGGGTGGAATTCAAGATGTTGATTATTATCTTTAAAGCCCTTTATGGCATTGGATATCTGCAGAACTATCTTTTCCAATAGGATTGGCCTACCCCACTTAGGCTGGCAGAAAGGGCTATTGTGGATCCTATCAGCCAAGGAATTTCAGTTGGTGGGATCCAGGAGAAGAATCTTTTCAGCCATGGCTTCTGGCTTTTCAACAGGAGGTAAGATCCGCCCCCTCTCCTTTAGCCTTCAAGAAAGGTCTTAAAATCTGGCTCAGCAGTTGGCATGGGCTCCTGAAGGAGAAGCTGTCTGCTGGAGGTGGTTGATACACTAACAAAAAACGCACTCCACTTTCCCCCCCAATTCTTGTTTTTTAGTTTGCTTTAATTTTTGTCATTTTAATCCATTTGTATATTTATAATAGTTGAATGTTTGTTTTATCTCAATGTAATCCTCTTAAGAGTTGCCTCAACTGTGAGATGGGCTGCAAGTAATTTGATAAATAAATAACCATACCATATTTAGATTAATTGTGCTGTCTAGTACAACAGATCTATTACATTGTTCTCTGTACATTAGATACTCTGTACATTAGATACTCTAAGTTGTTGTTTAGATGTTTGCTGGTATGCATCCTTGCATGACACAATAAGAGCTTGTGGTAAATTAGATTGTATAATAATGATGCATTCATAAAACCCATAGTAGAAAAAACACTTCCTAGGAGAATTTACAGGTAAAGTGCAAACCTTTTGGATCTATTCTACCTATTAATTTTTGTAACATAGATTAATGTTCATATCTAAAACCATACAGCATGCAGCGCATTTTTTTTTCAAAGCACTTAGGAAAATCATGACAGAGACTAGCATCCTGATTCCAAGATTTCAGTTCATTTCTGGTTTCCTGGGAGTATGACGGCTGATAGAAATGCTAGTTTCAACGCTGCTAACATTGGATGTTCCCGCTCTGACAACTGATGAAAATGCAGCCATTTTCTCTTCTCCTTTCTCATGTTTTTTCTTGCTTTTAGAAATCAGGTGCAGCGGGGGGGGGGGTTTGGGATGTAAGCTCAGCTAGCCATAATAATAATAACGCTGCTGTGGGAACCCATGGACAAGCTGATAACATTTTAGCAGGCTGAGGAGCTAAGGAGAAAGCCCGCGCTTTAAGCTAATTGGGGAATGTGCTTTATGACAGTTTATTGGGGGTGGGAATTGTACTTTGTTACTTTGTATCTGGAGGAAGGGAATTTAGTTTTTGGGTTCAACTTTGTTTCCCGAATAAATGTTCTTTAAGGAAGAATTTTGCCTCAAAGTTCTTTTGATATGTTTCATCTATCGGAACCATGACAGCTAGGAGAAGAAAAACTATCTAGTCAGGTCAAGTTAAATCTTGGCACACATGGCTGTATATAATTTTGAATTATTTGCCTCTCTTCCAGCATCATCTCATGATGTTCTGGAATATTGCCTCACTGGAGGCAGATTAAGGACATAAAAAAGGCTGGTTGGAAGATGGAATCTTGGAAAAAAAAACTTCTGTAGGCTTCCATCTATAACAAACATGCATGGTATAGGCTTCATATATACTTTTGCACTTATCATTGAATGGTTATCCAGTTCAATTATACAAGTGAAAATAATAATCCTAGTAACCATCAAAGGCAAAAATGTAAAATTTATACATACTCTTATTTGGAAACAAATTCCATTGATCTTAATTAATGTGTGAATAGTGGGAATAGCAAAAAATGCATGCATTAGATCAGGGGTGTCAAACTGCCGGCCCACAGGCCGGATATATTCTAAGGAAACCGTGTCCACCCCATTGTCGGCAATGGCAAAAAAGTCGTGATATGTTACGATACGTCATGACACATTGGAAGTTTGACACCCCTGCATTAGACTGATTTTCATGAAAATAAGTAGATTATAGATTTAACAGTATACGTTGTGAAAGAATGTCAAAATTGAAATTCAAATTTAACAAATATTTCCATGTCAGTTACAAAGAATTACAGATATAGATTTTAATCTCACTGGTTTGTCTGATGTAGTCTCTTTCAATGTAGCCAAATTTTGTTATACTATCTGCAAAAACAGGCAGACTTTGATAGCCCAATCCATCACCAATTGTTAAATATTATCTTGTCCTTTTTATTTTATTTCGTTTTATTTTTAATGCTTATTTATAATGCTAGTCTGTGACTATAATAAAAATACTCCTCCTCCTTCACTAGTTTACAGTATTATATTAAAGTGAAGAAATTATACAATTAGCTGTCCTGAAATGTCTGTTAAAAAGTCACATTATATTAGATTTTATTCTTCATTAAGTTATATTATGATGCCAAGAGCAAGTCCCATTTAAGAAAGTTTAAAGGAAGACAACAGGAATTAGATCATAAAGCAAGAGAGAAATTAAGTGACAATGTCAATATGAATTAACAAAAATTAATTTCTGTTATATCATAACACCACTATATATTAAAACAAAATCTATTTTCTATACCCAAAACAGAGCCTAAAGAAGAAAACTACAAAGGAGGCATTTTGCCTATCTATTGATAATAAACTGTGCTAGCCAATGTTAACATAGACCTGGAGAAGAGTAAAAAAACAGAAATAAATGCTTGGGGAAAAAATAGACTGATGAAACTGCCAGAAAGCTGTTAAGTGTCTCTTAAGTACTCTGATAAGAAAACAATGAGTGAATTATTGACACTAGAATTAGAACAGAATGATACATGATAGAAATGCCAATTATGAGGAACAATAAAAAATAAGGAGAGAGAATAAAAATTTTAACCAGCTGTTATTGGTAATTCAAATCAAAATTCTTATTAGTTGCTGCATTATTCCTTAAATAAACAGGTATTCTGGTCTGGTCATATTTAAAAATCACTATATCTGATACTATATGTTGCCCTTGAACACAGTGAAAAAAGAATATATATAGCCCCTTTGTTCTTTTCAGTGCAGTACATAGTGGTAACAACTTATAGAAAGAATCTCAATAAAATATTCAATTTAGTGACATCTAAAGAATCATGTAACCCAGTGACACCTAAGGGCACATCATATAATTGCTCTCTTCCAAAATATCAACTGCATTTACCTAACTGATAATGCATCTCTTCCATCTGTAATAATGAGCTGAAATACACTGCTTAGAAATTCAATGCAGAAGTATTGTATTCTATCACAATGCAGAAGACGGCTACTTACCCCATTGGGCTGCCACCCAAACTCTGTAAGGCTGGCATTTGTAAAAATTAATTTGTTGTGACTCTCTAAGATCACAGAAGACATTGCTATATATATCTAAATAAAGCAACTTTATTAAACGTTATGTTTCTGTAATATAAGCATAAAAATTACATATACATGCATTATTACTAACTATAAAACTATTTCTGCAATAATAAAGAAAGCTTGGACATCATTTTAATTTTTAGAATTATTCTTAAACTCAGTGTTCCTGGAGCCATAGGTAAATAAGCAACTTAATTAGGCAAATGACATCACCATCATCATCATCATATTCTTCTTCTTCTTGTTCTTCTTCTTATTATTATTAAAGAAGTTGCATTGCAAAAAAGTGTATTATAATATGAAAAATAAACCAGGGCATTCTTTTTTGCAGAAGGACACCAGATGGCCAGCTCCCTCATTAAAGCAAAAATCCTTTTCAAGGAAGTGTTAAAGAACTA